CACAAAATACACAGTCACTGCAGTTTACAATATATTCTGTGAAGCACTTTGAGACGTCTCACCGATGTGATAAGGTACTATTTCAAATGCAAGGATTATTATTCTTATTTCAATGATGTTATAAGATGCTATGTTAAATCTAATGATTTTATCTTTTAGTATAACATTACTGCTTTGTTTTAATTTTATCTAGCCTCGACTGATTCTAAATGAACATGTATCTGACCAATGATACAAGTACATAGTCCTCTGATGTGAAGACCCACATTGTTTTGTTTGTGTGATGCTCAATTTATCAAACTACCTCTAGAGAGAATAGCACCTTTTAAAAGTCTGATCAGTTATGTGTGAATTAAATGTGAAGTTGTTTTCCCCTTTCGATTGAAGTTCTAGTGAATTAATAGATGCAATACAGACTTTTAAATTGGATATTTCAAACTGAGATTCATAACACCTCTAATCTAAATTTAACTTATTTTAGCAAATTAGTTACATTGCCTTCATAATTAAGGTCTACTTGAAGTTAATTGCAAATATCACACTTTTTCCTTTAGTTGTGAATTTTCACCAGGCAGTATTTTATGGCGATTATGCATTAGAGCAGGAACTCATGTCAATTTCCAGAACCTTGGGTCATTTTTGGCCTGTTTTTTGTCTGCTTAACAAGCAAAAATGTCTAAGAAGATTTAAATCTGTCTAGACATGTTATGTAAATACATTATGTAATTTGTTTTAACTCCCAATTGACCAATTTTGCTAACATTGGGAGCACAAATGATGTTTCGGTGTGTGTTTAATCACCAACTTGCTTTACTTGGTTCTTTCATTGAAAATGGCTTGGAGCATACTTTGGTAGCAATTTGGTGTTATCCGGATCAGTATTGTCTTCTGTTTTCCATAGACTTGCTTTGGCACAGCAACTATAGCCCCCACTGGGCTTCTAAACCCCAGTGATGTCTCTTACTGTTTATAGAATCTGCTGATTGATGGAGCGCTCTGTATAATATTTGCTAATGTGTATACATATCTTGAAAACTTTAAAATACATCTCTCAAAACACAAAATACTGCAGAAGCTGGAAATTTGAAACAAAAACAGAAGTCGTTGGGAACACTCAGCAGGTTCGGCAGCATCTATGGAGAAAGAAAAGTGAGTCAAGGTTTCGGGTCTACGACCCTTTATCAGGACCCAAATACATCACTCAACCTTTTTGTGCAAAGATCAAGTTGTTAAAATCTATATGCACATCATTTGGGAGTCTTACCACTTTGCACTTACCATCTTGAGCACTGGGACACTCAGTGGGACATGATCATGGGAACCTTGAAGGTATTGAACGGAAGAGAAAGTGGCAGTAGACCCAAATGTTGATTCTTATCAGTATCTGTGGGTCTTAGCCAAAGCCCTGAAGGTGGTCAAGCAGAGGGAGTTTGCTAGGCAGTGCTATCAATGGCAAATTATATGTTTTTTTGCTGGTTAAATTCCAGCAGTGTCACAATGCATACTCTGGGGTTCCCAAGCTTCGGCTCTTGCCAACCTGTGCCTAACACCTGTGGAATGAAGTAAACCAAGCCATCCAGGGAGAGGCTGCACATTCCATTCCAAGCTGGACATTTGCATGTGTAGGTGGGATGCATGGAACTCTCAGTTTGGTTTTGCATACTTTTTAGCGTTGTGAAGGGTTTCTATTTGTGTCCCGGGTGACTAAAGAAATTACGCCACTGCTTCACTTGTAGTGTGTGGTAAAGGTTGTGTTCGGGGCCTCTTGTATGCAAGAACACAATTCATTCTTTTTTGCCAAGATCGCATTCCTCTATTGGATTGTAATGCCGATATGGGCACACACAGAGTTGGCACGTGGATACAATGTTCCTCTGTACGCATATTGTTACACTGGGGCTTTAATCGCAGCCCATGTACAATGTGACTCGTTTAGGAAAGTTGTATTGTACATGTCAAATATTTAGAAACTTCTGCACATATCAACACATTGTGTTTTCTCGTCCCGAACCCTTTGAAGTCTTTAATCGGTAGTTTAGAATCTGTTTGCTGAATCCAGATTAGCATCAACTAATATTGAGTGCTTGTGCACAACATATTTGATGTACCTGACTTGCCTCAGTTCTTTCCCATCTGAACCCGCAAACAGGACTTTGGTGTATTGTCTCATCCAAAGGACGGCATCTCTGATAATGTAGTCTACCTCTATGGCTGCTAATGAGTCTCGGCTGGACTGATCAAATGCCCTCCTCGCCGGTTCCCCCTCCACTACCTTTCATAAAATCCAGGTCATCCAAAACTCTGCTGCCCACATTCTTATCCACATCAAACTCCGTTCCCCGATTATCCCAGTCCTTGCCAGACTGCACTGGGTACCTATCCCAGAGAGGATCGACTTCAAGATCCTCACCCTTGTCTTCAAATCCCTCCACTCTACACCCCCTACTTCTCTGAACCCCTCTCTCCTCACAACAGTGTCCGCTGCCTTCGTTCCACCGGGTCTGGTCTCCTCCTTTTCCCCCGAATCCTCCGCTCCACCATCGGTGGCTGTGTCTTCAGCCACTATGCCCCGAAGCTCGGAACTGCTTTCCTCATGCCCTTCACCTCACCCCCTTCACCTCGCGCCCTCTCTTCCTATTTTCAGGTCTCTGCTGAAGACCTTTCTTTTCGACTGTGCCTTTGGTCACCTTCTTCCCCCTTCCCCTGGCTCGGCCCCGGGATCCGTTACTGTAAAGCGCTCTGAGATGCCATCCGGCGTGGAGGGCGCTATATGAATAATAATAATAATCCTTGCATTTGATATAGCGCTTTTCACGTCGGGAGGATGTCCCAAAGCGCTGCACAGAATATACTGTAAAGTGAATTGACTGTATATTTGTGGGCGAACACGGCAGCCAATTGCGCACAGCAATGTCCCACAAACAGTCGTAGATTGAAAATGACCAATTTATTATTGTTTTTGGTTTTGAAGGTATTATTATTAGGTGTGTGGAGTAAGGAAACTTGCCCAAGGTTTCACCCTCTGCCTGGAATTGAACTCAGGTCTCTCGCTTGCAAAGCGAGTGCTCTAACCACTGAGCTACAGGACTCTGAATCCAAGTTGTTGTAATATTAATGATCCTTGCATTTAATGTTTTTACATTGGGAGATCCCTCAAAGCGCTTCACAGGAATTACTGTAAAGTGTAGTGACTATATTTTGCTAGCAAATGTGGCAACCAATTTGAGCACAACAATGGGCCACAAATAGACATGAAGTGAATGATCAATTTTATTTGTTGGTCAGAACCCTGGGAAAAATCACACGTTTCCCAGAAAAGTAAAGTGTATTATTTTTACATTCACTTGCTGTGTATTTCCAGCACTTTCTCCTTGTGATTTCTAGAGATTTGAATAATTGATTGGGAGAAAACTCTTGTGGCAGCAAAGTCGTGCGATTCACAAAATAATTTTAGTGACTGTCTCCCTCTGTTGGTCACAATTGATATTACAAAGCAAGGGAGATTGCCTGACAAATTGGCTGAAGAACTTGCAACTTTTTGCTTTTATCATATGAACAATATCTCAAAGCATTTTATAGCAATTGTTAAGTGCAGTGATTGTTTTTAGCAGCGATCCCACAAACATCCTCGTCCTTTGGATGAGATGCTAAACTGAGGACCCATCTACCTGTTCAGGTGGACATAAAAGATCCCATGGCACTATTTGAAAAGAGAAGGGAGTTTCTCTCAGGTGAACAATCTCCTGAGTAAAATGTAATCACTCACTCCATGGCTCAGTTTAACATATCATCTGAAGGACAGCTGTCCTGAAAAACCACTTTTCTGGGGTGTAATAGTTCCTTCAAAAATAATAATAAATTGATCGCTCAATCCATTACTGTTTGCTGTAAAAACCTGAGAGCTTTCAAAAGAGAACAACGGTGTGAGCCCAGAAGAATTCTCACCCTCTCTGTTTATACTCGAGTGGGTGAATTTCACTGCTTCTGAAATCACCTTTAATAGGTGCTGTGGCTCCAGTAGTATTTACATTCTCTCAACCTCCCCACTCCCAACATCAGAGTTTCACCACCAAATATGCTGTCCTTGCAATGTGACTGAGATAGTAATAGTGCAAGCAGTAATAAACAGGTGTAATTCTTCCAAGGAATTTGATATCTTGGAAATCAAACTCAGATAGATGAGGGTGAAGTTGAACTCCAGGCAATATTTAACTATAGGTAAATATAAGTAAATGCAGGTGTATGGAAGGAGTTACAGGTGGCTCTTACTTCAAATTGAAAAGGATTTCAAAATTGCCTGTATTCTTTTTGATTAGTTCTTTACATTAGTAAGGTCTCCTGTTATTACTTCTGTATATATGCATTTACATGTGGTTAATACAACCTGTAATTTTGACACCCTCATCTCTCTCCATTTATCCCCTGTATGTTGGTTGCAAGACTCATTTGCTAAAGATTTGAGCTTAATGTTTTCATATTTATTTCCATTAAAACTTTTGGCTAATTATAGTTATACTATACAATTAACTTAATTAGTTATTCCTTAATTAGTTATACTATATAAGGTGCGTTCAGATACATTAGTAAAGCACAATCTTAATGGTACAATTCAAGTAAAATTGGGAGCAGGAGAGAAGATCTTTGGAATTTTAAATGTGTCAAAATTGTATCACGTCCCTGGCAAATCTCATCATCCTGTGATATATCTGGATGGAAGATGTAAAATGTAAACTCAGATGTCCTCAATACTCTCATTGTATCCCTGGACATGAATTGCAAACCTCCCAGCTGAGGTAAGTGAAAGCAGCGAAGTAAAAAAAACTTTCTGCCTGTAGTTTTTGCAGTTGTATTCTAATGCAAATTCTAGCTTTGTTTATTCCAGTGCCACATCAGTCTGGATTTGAATAACTTGTAAACATCTATTTTCTTGGCAGGACCACAATAAGCATGACATTACCCAACACATAAACCCGGTATTTTCCTGGAATTGATTCAGGTCAGTTTGGAGCCATGAATGGGCACAGGTTTGGATTGTTTTCCTAGCCATAATGGGTATGTACCTTCAAATCGTTTGGCAGGCAACCCAGGTTATATAACTCATATTTCTGTGTTCCTGACCTTAACAAGATAATGCAAATCTCCTTAGAGGGGTAGGTGACTATGAGAGTTAGATGTATTTCAGATGTAGTGATCATTAGTGAAAAGCTTCCAATTAATTTGAGATTGATTTAAAAGGTGATGCTAGTAAGCTAGACATCTGCTTGGAAAAAGGCCATAAAAAGGCATCTCCCAAATTAAAACAGATACCTGTCACTCTGGCTGTCTATATCTGTTAGAGAAAGTGCGTGTTGTGTAATAGAGCATTCAACCTTCAATCTAATAGTTATTGTCAGACTTCTGCTGTTTAATAATCTTCCACTCAGGGATATCTTCTGCAGTGTAGGAAAAAGAGAAGAGAAACATACAATGTTTGTTGGGGTTTAATTGACTTTCTGATACACTTGGCAACATTGGGCAGGTCCGCAGCAAAGGTATTATTGGTGATCAATAACCAGTATGTCTTGTTCATCAAATATGGAGTCCTGTAGCTCAGTGGTTAGAGCACTTGCTTTGCAAGCGAGAGACCTGGATTCAATTCCCGGCAGGGTGAAACCTTGGGCAAGTTTCCTTACTCCACACGCCTGATAATAATCCCTCAAGAAAAAAAACAATAATAAATTGGTCACTTCAATCCACGACTGTTTGTGGGACACTGCTGTGCGCAATTGGCTGCCGCATTTTGCCCACAAATATACAGTCAATTCACTTTGCAGTCTATTCTGTGAAACACTTTGAGACGTCTAGAAGTCATGAAAAGCACTATATCAATGCAAGGATTATTATTATTATCAATGAGACTTGGAAGTAGATACATGTCCTCAATACCGCAAGCCCAAACCCTAAAGGGAAAGGCAGTCCTTAAGCTGGACACGTCAGTAATAACCTATGCTATTTTATTTATTTTAACAATGTGCATGTGTGTTCAAGTTAAAAGGAAATAGTAAATATCCATTGGTGCTTTGTATTCAGACAAAGTATAATCAAAAAAATTAAGCACTTAGAAAATTAACCACTTAGAGAGTGGTTGAACTTTACACATTTGGTTTACTTTAAATGCTACCATTGACATTGATATTAAATACTTACTGTTTTACTTGTGGTGAGAGCTACTTTTCTTAGTCGCAGGTCCATCTTGAAAATAATAGGAGCAAAAAGAAGCACCTCTAATTTCTATATTGGTCACAGGTTATTTTCCATTAATTGTGTAGATGTAGAGGTGTATGTAAGTTACTATTTATAACGCACATATGTAGTATGAGTAATGTGCATGTTCAATAGCGATTCTCAGGTTTGGAAAAAGAAGATAAACCGGTTAAGTGTCATCCTGAAGACATCACTGTGCAAGTGACACAGTATATTGTTTCACAACACGAACCGATTCTCTTTAGTCTAAATGGAAACTCTAAATGCAGGCATTGTGAATACCTTATCCATCAATCATATGGATGAGTAATGCTTAAATGAGGATTAACCAGTGCGTCTTTCCTTTCCCACCCAGGAGCTGCTGATCAGAAAGATGAAGAAGGTGGTACGTTTTGACAATTTGCAACATTCTGCAATAAAGTGTGCTACCAAGTAAAATAATTTGGTGTACGCCAGAGAACAGTACAGCATAAGAGATTAGTGCTTTCAAATAATGTAATACCCCTTTATGTGTAAAATAATATTTTTTTCCCTTCCAATTTTCTCCTTTCCTGAAGGCACTGATGTTAGAATCTTAGAATGTTACAGCACAGAATCAGACTATTTAGAAATATAGAAACGTAGAAACAGGAGTAGGCCATTCAGCTCCTCGAGCCTGTTCCGCCATTCTATAAAAATCATCTGTACTGATCATTACCTCAAAACCAATGTACCTCAAGGTCGCTGACCTTTCTGACAGAGTTGACAAAAGGTCATCGACCTGAAACGTTAAGTCACTTTCCTCTCTCCATAGATGCTGCCTGACCTGCTGAGTTTTCCCAGCAACTTCTGTTTTTATTTTTGAGACTTCCTTATCTGTATAGCATAGTGAATCTATTAAGCGAGCTTTCAAATGAACTGGGCAGTGCTTTTCAGCAGTGTCTGTTTATTTTTAAACAATGTACAGATGAGTGTTATTTCTTAGAAACCCACTGCAGTTTAAATTCACATAATTACCCATTAACTAAATTACAAGTGCAATCCATTGGTTAGGACATGCTCACATTGCGGTGTAGACTGAATGTACTGTAAAGAATTCAGACTAGACAAAAGCTAAAGTCTAATTCTATTTAATACAAAAAGCTCATAAGTCAGTTTCCCTGCTGGGCAACCCGAGTAACCGCAATAGTAAAAGACGCGTAATGAAACAATACTACCAGATGACTGGAGGACTTCCCTTCTATGGTCAGCACGTTCACAGCTTAACCCACCAACGAAGACAAGTCCAAAGTTCCAGTCTCACCCTTATTTATAATTAAGTGTCCCATTGTCCTCCATATAAGGTTCTTCTTCGTGCAGGACGCAACCGCTTCCTGTTTTCCACTCATCCTTCTGCTTTGCACTCCGCACTGCGACCTTGGTTCTGTTGTTCAGACTCGGTTGCCCCCAAACCATCATTCAGCTATCTTCCCACTTTTGTGTAGCCAAGGTCTCTGAATACCACATTCCTTCTCCATAATCAGCATCCCGTACCCTCCTTATTGTTCTTCAATCAACAAACTTACTCATAAGAGTGATAACAGCTTTTACAATTAACATCTTACATCTGCTTTGATTGTATTTACTCATGGGACTGCTTTAACTACTATGGGATTATACAGCATATATTTTAAACATAACAGTACTATGTACTAATCTTTGTGCTAGTACCCCATTCCTCTGCCCACCCGCTCAGCTAACACAGACCACCCCCCCACCCCTGTGCGTCCCCCGGCCTCTCCGCTCCCCCACTGATGGCCAAGTCTTCATCCACTACACCTCTCATTTCCCGAATTCCCTGCCTCAATCCGTCTGTCTCGCTCACTCTATCTATCTTTAAATCTTGACTCAAAACCTACCTCTTTGATCCCTCACCTTTTGCTCTCTCTTCTTCCTTGCTCAGCATCCAACCTCACCACCATACAGCGTAAATCCCACCACTGTACATCACCCAACCCCAGCACTATACAGCATCCAACCCCAGCAGAGCCGGAGTACAATTCCATGCACAGGCAATCAGAAAATTTCTCTAGTGCCCCAGGAATGGTTCCCAATGCTTACCATCCTCTGTAGCCTAGTTCAGAACCATTTAATGCTGACTGTTGTTAAATCATGGATGTTTTATAGTATCTTCACTGAGGTTACCCAAAACATCTTGTGCTTTTGCCATTATTATAGCAGGAGAATTAACATTGCTCTTCAGATTTTTTTTTTAAAAATCTCTGCAATAAAGGTATATGGGTTTTTTTCCACAGAAAGATTCAGTGTATTTAAAAAGTGTTTGAGCTTGTTAAATACAATGGATTAATCTGTGATACTTCCACAGGATTAGAAGTTAATCCTAGATAGTTAGCTAGTAAATAAAGTCCAGTCCGCAAGTAAAATGCTTATCTAAATTTTAACTAAATCACTGTGAAGAACTAACATTGTTGCAGTAAGGCTTTTCAAACATTGGTGTAGATTTATTACTACAATGGTAAACACAGACCACTGATAATAAGTAACTGTGGAATACAATTTAAAATAGAAGTAAAACATTTTTAGATTGTTCTGTTTTATTTTATTTTCGTTTTATTTTCCCTATTTTTTGTCTTTACTGCTCTGTTTTCTTTTAACTAAAAATATTTTCTAACTCATTTCTATGTCATTTTAAAACCCATCACTATATTGGCACTTGGTTTTCCTTGACTGTAGCACTCTAATTACAGGTCAGTTTTACATCCTTTGAAAATGCCAGATACTGCAGACTGATATGATCATATCTGTTATGATGGCCAGGTTAATCTTTCCCATGAAACATGTGTCTAACCAGGAAATCTGAGTTGCACATGAGTTAATCTCTGGGGGGCACTAAAATCATCAAGCTTGTATAAATGAATACATGATTAATAAATTGTTTTGAGGTTGATTCACATTTCAAAAATGTAACTGTATAAAGGAATGACAATTAACTATTCTTTGGATAAATTGGCTCTAATCTGGAATAGATTGGGTGAAATTCAACTAGTCTGTGGTGTTACTATAACATTATGCACTGTAATGAGATCTCTGGTTTAATTGGTAGGACTCTGAATAAAGTTGTGGGTTCAAGCCTCATTATTGAATATTGAGTCTAGTTTATAGACTTTTAGTCTTCTGTTGCTTCTGATTTTAAAGATCCCACATTCTGTTCGAAAAGAGAAGAGAGTTTCTCCTGGTGTTCTGGCCAACAATCCTCTGGATACAATTGGTCATTCACGTTTTGGCTGTTTGTGGGAAATTGCTCTATGCAAATTGCCTGCTGCAAAGTGCTGTGAGATGGTACCCCATTTTAAGGGCCTGATATAAATGCAAATTGCTGCTACTGTTGCATTGTTTGCTGACAAATACACAATTGTTAGGTTTTGTAGGGAACCAACCAAGATAAAGTAACCAATCTTTAATTTCACTATCAGCCCCTCCTCAGAGAGCTTTAATCAATTCCCTGCCCTCTAATTCTGTACTGAATCTTTAGTGTTTGTTCCCTAGAAAGATTTTACATTAATGTGAATTTGCTTTGTTTTGCAGCTGAGGCTGGAGAAAGACACACCTTGCCTTACTGGAGCGGATCTGTTTTGGATTTCTTTGCTGGGTTGAACATCTCCGCAGACTGGCTGGGCTTGTGAAGATTGATGAAATTAGTCGCACTCTGGGCTTTCTGGAAATTCTGGGCTCACTTCCCATCTGCCAGCAAACTGGGTTACAAAGTTCCTGATCACGAAGAATAGGCCTTGTATTCTGACTTCTTATCCAGAAATAACTGTGAAATTAGCACAAACTCTTCTGAAAGCGCAAGTGCATTGGAAATCTGCACATGTTGCTACAAATATTGTAATGTTTTACAGATGTACTGTGTAATTAAAACATTCAGACACTTAAGGAATGATGTAAATTAAATGCATTTACATAGCGGTTTGATTCACCAATCTTGTAATATTAAGGTGACTTAAACTTTTCATTTCCTGACAAAGTAATAAGTGCATTAACAACAACTTGCAGTTATATAGAGCCCTTCATATGGGGTAGGGTCCCGGAATGCTTGACAATGGCGGAATCCGACACCGAGCCAGGGGGAGAGGGAAGGTGGAGGTGACTGTAAGCACAATCAAAAAGGGAAGTCTTTAGGTGGGATTTGAAGGTGGGGAGGGAGGGAAAAGGTGGAGTGATTGACGGAGAGAGTTCCAGAGTTACGGGGCATAGTGACTGAAGGCATGGCCACCGATGGTGGAGCGGAGGGGACGAGGGACAAACAGAAGGCCGGAGCCTGAGGCAGCAGGTGGGGAAGTGGAGGGTGCGCGGAAATGAACGGATTTGAAAACAAGTGAGAGAATCTTGAAATCGATCCTTCCGATAATTAGGAGCCCGGGGAGCCTGGCACGGACTGGTGTGATGGGGCTACAGAGTTTTGTGTGGACGGTGGAGTTTTTAATTAGTTGAAGCTTGTATATGGTGGAGCTGGGCAGACCAGTGAGGAGAGCATTGTCAAGTCCAGCCAGGAATTGATGAAGGCGTAGACGAGGGTTTCGGCTGCAGTGGGTGTGAGGTATAGACGGAGGTGGGCAATGTGGCGTAAGTGCGGAAAAGAAGCGTTCCTGGTCATGGAACAGATGTGGGGGAGAAAGGAAAACTGTGGATCGGACCTGACGCCTTAATTTCACACGGGTTCAGTGAGTCTGAGAGAGAGCCTAGGGAGATTGAGGAGTTTAGAACTGCAGGAGAGAAGACATTGACGGGAGCCAATCAGTATGGCTTTCGTCTTGCTGACATTCAGCTTTAGGGTTAGTTTGCGTTCATCCAGGTCTTGATGTTCGTTAAACAAGCTGACAGGAAATCAGTGGACTGGGAGTTACAGCTGGAGGAGAAGTAGATTTGTGTGTCATCCTCATACATGTGGAAGTTGATCCCGAGTCTGCAGATGACGTCACCCAGAGGGAGGGTGTAGATAAGAAAAAGAAGGGTGGAGTCTTGGAGTACCCCACAGCTGACCAGGCGGGGGTGTGAGGAAAAAACATTTGCTGAGATATATTGTTGTCGGTTTGTTAAGTAGGACTTGAATCATGCGAGTAAGGTCCCACTAAGATGGATGAGGGAGTAGAGGCGCTGGAGGAGGATGGTGTGATCGACTGTAGGGAACGCAGTGGAGAGGTAAAGAATGAGGGAGTCCTAGTCACACAGAGAGAGAAAATAATGTGTTACTTTGATGAGCATTGTGCTGTGGGCAGAGAGAAAACCAGACTGGAGGCGTTCGAATAGGGAGTGGAGGGAGAGGTTTGGGCCAGAAATGGCAGGTTTGAGATGGGTCTGAAGTCTATGATGTTGGAGGGATCTTTAAGAAGAGGAGTGATGATAGCGGTTTTGAGGGGCAGTCGGACAGCACCTGAGGAGAGGGACTGGTTGATTGTGTCAGCCAGCAGTGAGAAGCGGGAGTTGAGTGACCAGAGCCAGGGGAGGGGTTGAGGCAGCAGGGCTTCATCTGGGTGATGGTGGGGAAAAGGGTGATGAAGGGGGTATATGGGGGGAGGAGGTGGGAATGGAGGTGATAGGCGACATGGTAGGGGAGAGGAGGAGGTAGTTACGCGGATGCCCCAAGAAGGACAGTCCCGATGATGTAGTTAGTCCATAGAGCGGCAGCTTTTGGACTAAATACTCACTGATTTGAATCCTGGTCCATGCCGAGTTTGCTGATCTCAGCTGGGGTTGCATGAAAAGCTAAATTGGCCCTTGGTAGGGATAGGGAGGGGAAAACCAGTCAGGGTTTCTGCTCCTGGACCCTCTTCAGCACCCTCTCCTGTTTATGTGTGAGTATGGCAGCCCATAGGAGGAGTCAGGCTCAGTCGTGACACCCTCTACATTCAAGTAGCCTCCCAGCACTCACTGCCACCACTCATCCATGAACGATAATCACTTGGGGAGGGAACTGTACCCAAGGAAGAGGGGCCATGATCAATAATAATAATAATAATAATCCTTGCATTTGATATAGCGCTTTTCACGTCGGGAGGACGTCCCAAAGCGCTTCACAGAAGACACTGTAAAGTGAATTGACTGTATATTTGTGGGCGAACGCGGCAGCCAATTGCGCACAGCAATGTCCCACAAACAGTCGTAGATTGAAAATGATCAATTTTAATTATTGTTTTTTGTTGTGGAGGGATTATTATTAGGCGTGTGGAGTAAGGAAACTTGCCCAAGGTTTCGCCCTGCCTGGAATTGAACTCAGGTCTCTCACTTGCAAAGCGAGTGCTCTAACCACTGAGCTACAGGACTCCACAAAAAATTTTCATCAAAAAATGAATACTAAATTTTTATTGAAGTAAATCAGAGGAGCTTCATTAACACTGGGGAGCATTTGACATTGACATCTGGAAAAAATACAAGATGCTTTACAAATCTTGGAATTGTTTAATGACACAACCAGATAAACAGCTGAGGTTTAATGTCTCATCTAAGCAACAGCATCTCCAACAATGTAACACAGCTGATGTAAAACAAGATATCAGAATTCTTGAAAACGCACAGCTATGTGTTCACTGCAGGATGTTGGATACTAATTAATAAATAAGAACCAATCAATTAGGACCAATGGAGGGAGATCAGGAGGGAGAGAAAAGCAGGAAGCAGAGAAAACTGAGTTGAGGGTGTTGGATGTGACTGTTGGATTGTGTAACTAGAGACCAAAAATGAAAGAGTGCACTACACATTGTTTGTTGAGAATGTAACACAGGCTATACTGATGGATATTGAAAAAAATTTGGACAAATTAAGTAGATGAACAAAGAAACTGGTCATTTACTATCCCTCAAGCCTTGGGTTACTGATTGCAACCTCTTTCAGAAATCAAATCACACATTAGTAGACAAACGTAAACCAACTTGCAGTTCACTTAAGATCACTCAGATGGTGTTTAAGTAATGAGAAACATATGGGCACATTCTTTTTAAATACAAACCAGAGTTTGGCAGATAGTTTCATAGGGAGCACAGGAGACTGAAATTGACTCCTTTTTAAAATTAAAATTTTAACAATTTTACTAAACACACATTTAGCTGAGGCTGCACAATTGTAATCTGCTGATACATGGAATTCATTCCCAGCAATAAGCAAAGAACTCCTGACTCAATCTCTAGATAACTCTCTTGTGAATCCAACAGAAAGAGCAACAACAATACATTTATATAGCGTCTTCATATGGGGTAGCGTCTCAGAGCAAGAGGGTGACGTTGTAGAGATTCTGAATGCCAAGTGTAGGGAATGTAAACATTTACACTGGTTCAAAGAAACGGATTTCTGAGGTTTGTGCAGCTATATAAAGGCCCTGTAGAAATGTAAATTTGTATTTGTACTTGATTTCAGATTATCTGAGAGACACTGAGCCCTGGAAGTTAGAAAAGTATGTGTTCCAACACTGACCACCTTCACCACAAATATTAGTTTACAGTTTCATTCATGCAGACAATTGACCTTACCTTTCTCCATATGTTATAAAACTACATTCCCTGCTTCTGTGCTTTTCAGAACTGCTAAGTGTAAATTATATGTAAAGTCACTATGAGCCTGGAGGTAGTAGATGATAATGTCTATTAATTCAATCATAGTTATGGGGACTGAATGGATTTATAAATGAGCCTCAAGTTAGGCAATTAAATTGAGAGAGTTTAACAAGAAAATATGTTCAATGGTGTGTAGTTCTATGTGAGTGGCATAAAAGGCAACAACTGATTCAAGTCTGATCCAAGCCTTCAATGCAATATGAAACTCAACACAAGGATGTTGAGATATCAACTCAAGGCAGAAACTCAAACTTATTGTACACAGCCCTGAGTATGTCAAGAAACTCTCAACACTAATCCGCTTGACTGGCTCCGGCCTCCTACTTGTCCCTCGTTTCCATCATCAGTGGCCGCAGCCACTACTCCCTGAAACTGGAACTCTTCCTCGATCCGGCCACCTTATCCCCTCCTTCCCCATCTTCAGGTCGCACCTAAAGACCTTCCTCTTCGACCGTGCCTATATAAAGAAGCAAGTTGTTATAGTTGTAGTAAATGTATCCACAGTAAGACCTTCAATTGATCTTATATTTTGCATAAATGTTTATTGAGTTATCAGTAAAACAAAATCTGAATGAACCAAACTAAAATCTAGAGGAACAAAATCATTTTTTTCTAGAAGTCATATTGTGCCATTGGAAAAATGTGTAGTGCTTTGTTGAATCTGGCCTGACTTGGGGAAAAATAAGCACAGACAGACTCAATGCTCTCATTTCATCATTTGGAAACAGACAGTCCCTCAGAAAATCCAGTAGATAATTCACCGCTAGTATGTAATGGTAGCTTTGTGGTTAAAAGCTGTTAAAAGTACCAAGTGCAAAGTATTCTTTTATGCAGAGGGACAAGCAGCATTTATTATTTTAAGTAATGTGCATCAGGCTTCCAGTTCCAGTGTTTTATTCACTCTTCTTTTCATTTTGGTCTGTGTGTTTCCCCCTTTGTCCAATCCAAGAATTAGATGGACAGAGTGAGAGCGAAAGAGAGCCTGACATGGGGGTGAAGAAGGCAAATTCCAAGTAAAATGAAAGCAATCCGTACACAAAGGATATGTTCAAGCTTCCCAACACAATAATGTGAGTGACAGCAAAGGTCAGGAGTGAGTTATTGCAGCACACATTCCCTGGAGAGCAGCTGGGACTAGGACACACAAAAGGATTGTGAAAATGTACGATTTACTGCTCCAGAAAGTCATAGGTGCAGAATTAACTGGGATGTTTAAGCGAAAGAGAGATGGACGCTTGGGAAGTGAAATTAATAATAATAACTTGCGTTTGATTTAGTGCCTTATCAGAACATCTCAAAATGCTTTACAGGATTTACTGTAAAGTGTAGTGACTGTATTTGTACTCACCTACAGCAGCCAATTGGTGCATAGCACTATCCTACAAACAGTCAACTGCAGTCAAATGCTGAATTTTCTGTTTATGAAGAATTAAGGGTATCTTTTGGGGCTGAGCTGGCTCCAAAGTGAATTGGTTGGCAATGAAATATTAGAATCAAGTCAATTTTCTGTGGCAGTCCCAGTAGACTGCACTGAACTAGGTAAGTGCACAGTACACCAAGGCACTGTGACAGACCAGACCAACCTGGCTCATTGGTATGACTTGGAGGAGGAGTCACTGGGAGCAGGAATTCTTCTTACTTGGCTGTTTAAAAGGCAAAGCCCAAATGGGTAAGGTGGTCCTTGCTGAACAAGCAGCCAAAAGCTTGACAGATAGGATTTGCAATGATGAGTTGCATAGTTGCAGTAGGTTTAACTCCAGCAGTCCCCAAAGTATGGTTCTTGCCAACCTGTGCTTAATAATTTCTGGGATAGGTAAGTGAAACAGATTGCAAGGAAGGGTGATTGAGGCAGGACACTCGATTCATTTTAAAAACAGCTTGATGCTGTGATGGGAAGTCAGTGTGGAGGGTATTCTGGAAGAATGAGATCAAGTGCGCCAAAGGGCTTTCTTAATCCAAACCAATCTTGTGATATTGAGCACGGTGTATCCCTCCATGGAGAGATTGCATTCCAGATGACGTTGATTATTCATGTACAGTATATGTGGAACTGGAATGGATACTCTGAAGCAGAGTGCTGATGTCCGACACCTGGCTCACCAAACAAAAACCTGTAGTCATCGTTCTGTGCTCAAGAATTTTTTTGTAAATCATGGAACAGACTTGCTAGTTCCAATGATTTACTCCAGTCCCCATTTTATGCCATTGTTTCTGTAGAATGGGATTCTTCAATAGGATTGAAGTTCTGCTCCAAGACAAGGCTGTTGAAGATTGTTGATGCTTTGAAAAAATACAACTTTTGAAATACAATTTTAACAAGTCTTCCCTGAGATGTAAGGAGGGATAACTAGTTGGAGTTTGCTATGGAGATCAGCTTTAAAATATCCCTTGAGCACATTTGTAAACCTCTAAAAAAAATATTTTTAAACAAAGTAACAACTGAAACATTTAAAAAAAATATTATTTCACTTGGGGAAATGGCATTACAATATATTACCGTACAAAGGCAATACAGTATTTCAATGAATGTCGAATCGACCCTTTCCAGACATTTGCAGTACAATAAAATGCTAACAAATGGGGCAATTGTTATTTAATGAGCTGTCCTTATGTTTCACATTAATCGTTTTAATACTTTCAAGGCTATTTGCGGGACATTCCTGTGGCACATTGGCTGTGTCTTAGCCTACACAGCCAGTACACTTTACAGTAAATCCTGTGAAGTGCTTTGAGACGACCTCCTGACATGAAAGGGGTTATACCAATACAAGAATTGTTATTATTTTACTAAAGTCATGCAGATTCTGCTAAATTGAAACTCTATGCACATGAACGATATCTATATTGACTTGATCAAGCATGCATTTTACTAAATCTTTGCATGCAACTATGAGCGTACTTAATGTTAAAAAAATCATGGTTTAACAAACACGCTTTAACTAGAAAAATCAAAAACAGAGTAAATTATTGTAACTTAATTCATCTTTCTTGAGAATGTTCATTTCAGGCTCCAAATATGTTTTGAATTTTATTTAATTGAAACCATAGGTCAAATGCTTAGGGATATCCATCATAAAAACATCTGTTTGCAATCTATCGCTTGAAACAGTGCTCTGTTTCAAATTATTAGTATTCCCAGCCCAGTTCTCAACTTTTTATCAGACTGCAAATCCAGGAATTGAGAGATGACTAACAAAAGTTCTTTTCTTATGACTCACCAACAAGCTGACTGCTTCAACAGTTTTTCTGCCTCTAGCTGATGGTCATTCTAGAGCCAACCTGTGCTGAAGAGAATAAGGAACAGTTTGTTCTGTATCGCTGCACACTGAAAACTTGTTTTTTCTACAGACAGAAGGGAAAAAGGAAATCTGTTGTGTGAAAGGTAAACTTTCAATGCATTGCAAACCACTGGGAGGAGGAACAGAAGAAAGTTTAAGATGTATAGATTGCAAGCTAAACTAGTCAAACGTTTGCCACGGAAGTGGTAAAATATTTTTATTTTCAGCTGACAAAGGGTATTTTTCTAAACAAGCTGTTTTAACAAATGTAATAGAGTCGTTTAAAGTGTATAGGGCAATATTTATAGAAATGTCATTGACAGCCTCGAGTAGTTTGATAAGAGTCAAAGCTTGTCATAGTTTGGGCTGTGTTGTGGTTACTGCAGTATTATATATGTTGTGTTGCCTCGATTTTCTCTTTTATAGCATTTAATACTTTTTACTCTTACAGCCTTTTATTTCTCTGATACTTATTTTTTTGGGAATTTAAACTGACCGAAAAGACAATTACAGTGTTTTTTAAATATGCTGGGAATAGGCTTAGTATATTCATTGAAAGTTAAATAAATTGTTTTCTGTTTTATAATTTCCCACGGCTGATTTTGTGCTCTGGGATGCTCCCCTGCCTGAGTGGTGCTATATAAATGCAAGTTGTTATTGTTGTTTGCCAATGTGCAAAAAAAAAAGAAAGTATTAGTTTTGCAATTGATTTCCAAGTCAATTATCAAATTATTGTATAACATGGTCTTGCCCCCAATCTTTTTTTTGGGTCAGTTGGGTGTCTGACACGTGTGGAAACCCATCACCATGCTAAAGAGTATCCAAACCAAACTGAGATTTCCATGTATCCCACCTACACATGGAAATCCCAGAGGTAGATTATTGGAATGGAATGCACTCTCTCTTCCTGCTTCAGGAAAGGATTAGGCACAGGTTAGCAAGAGCCAAGGCTTAGGGACCCCAGATTGTGCGGGTGAGGTAATGCTGGAATCTAACCAGCTAAAACCATATAGCTTGTCATTGATATTGCTGCCTGGCAAGCTTTCCCACTGCTTGTCCAGCTCCCTTACCTCCCCATCAAGGAGGATAAATAGTTGTATTTATTTAGTCAAGTAGGTATTTGGATTTTCTTTTAAAAAAGTCCATAGCTGTGAATCTCTAAGTTGGAATCTATTAGTTCTATTGAATTTATGGCAAGTCTTCCCACTGGACAACCCAGGAAAGATCTCATCAAGATAATAGCACCATGATGTAATGTCAGCTATTCCCTTCGAACTTCTGATTATATTCAATGTAACCTCAGCTGTAGCCCAAAATGACTGAGGATAGATTTTGCTGTAATGTGTATTCAGCAAATAATTTTAATACAGATCAGTGAGACAAAGTTGCATCGTGTAACACTGTTATGTAAGAAAAATAGATACTGTAATTTGTTATGTGTTAACTATGGACTAGTAGCTACAAAGATCAAGGGGAAATATTTTGGAACACTACACAGTGGTGGTGAAAACTACTTTGTTAAATCAGGAGTGGAGAAATAAAACAATGAATAATTAACTATTTCTTAGACAGGATAGATTTTCCCCTGCAATTCACTGTATTATTAATTTAGGTTTTGTTTTGCCCTATTTGTAATATTAAATTTAACTGATATAAATGGTATATATGAAGATGAATACATTAGGAAACTTCTGAAGTTATACATAGCACACAGATGTGTTGCAGCTCACACTCCCCCTGTCTGAGTGAATGATTGAATGCAATGGAGAAACTCTTTTAACACTGGCCTTCTTCAGATTTGTATGGAAACTTTAACCGCCTATTAGTAAAACCAAAAAAGTGGAAAAAGAAGGGAAACGGAATTCTAGGTTTTATATCCTGCACAGAAGCATTGAATTTAAGATCAATGAGATAATGTTAATTTTGTACAAGATATTGGCTATTGGAATATTGCCTTTAGCTTCGAGTGAAATGTTGGGCAAGTTTCCTTACTCCACATGCCTCTGTTTACCCAGCAATAAGAAGGAACTTGGTTGTTAGTCGATTAGCGGGTCGCTTTTCGGTGGCTAACAATTCCTTCAAAAAAAAGAAAATCCACTTCAATCCATGCCTGTTTGTGGGACACTGCTTTGTGCAATTGGCTGTATTTTGCGGAAGTATACAGTCAATTCACTTTACAGTATATTCTGTGAAGAGCTTTGAGACATCTTGAAGGCGTGTTAAGACGCTACATGAAATGCAAGGATTATTATTATTAGAACAGCCACATATGCTGGGTTGAGTGGCCTCTTTCCATTGGGATGTAAAATGCTATCTTTGATGTAATAATTATCACTCTGTTTGACATCCTGCTCATGGCGATGAACCAGAATTAACTACCTGCTGGTGAACACCCAGCCTTTGACTTAATGCAAATGGTTGGGTCCAAAGCTGGTTTCGGCACAGCTAAAGTTGGATGCTGGATACAGTGACTCGTAAAACAAAGCAATTAACAAATCTTTACACGGCTTGGATATACCAGTGAAATTCTTAAGTGTGTTTTACTATAAATTTTACGATGTGCTTAAAAGGTATGGTATGAAAAGCTCTGTTCTTTTAGGTTTGAAGGATGCAATAAGACTAGCACAGGTGCTGGGTCAGAATGTACACATGTCTAAATTGACCTGAATCAATGTTTGCTATGTCTCTCATTAGTTTTCAATATTATTTCTTCACAACAGTCTGGTCACTAACTCTCATCAGGAAGCAGCAACATGTCTTCTCAACTCTTCCAGATTTCTTTTGTGATTCTCTCTGTGCTTTTGATGACTTTCATATTCCCAGGTGGGTAAATGTATACCTCATGAGTATCATATTTAATGCATGTAAAGCCTGGCTCAGTGGTATCACTCTCGCCTCTGGGTCAGAAGATTGTGGATTCAAGCTCAATATTATGACTTGAACTCATGTAGGAAGTGCTGGGGGTGCATTGCATTGTCAGCGGTACCATCTTTCAGATGAGACGGTAAACGAAGGTACCATCTGCCTGATCAGATGGATAATTCGAAAAGAGAAGGGAATTTCTCCCAGTGTCCTGGCCAATAATCCTGCAAATAAAATTGGTCATTCATTTCATGGCTGTTTGTGGAACATTGCTATGTGCAAATGGGCTGCTGCATTTGTTTACAAATACACAGTCACAATAATCCTGTGAAGTGCTTTGAAACATCTCTCCAACATGCTATGCCAAATGCAAAGATTATTATTTGTGGAATATCTTGTATATTTGTTCAGCGGTAATAGAAAATAAAATCCTAATAATAACCCTTGCATTTTGATATTAACTCCTTATCATGTCGTCAAGATGTCTCCAAGCTTCACAAAGATTTACCATAAAATGTATGGTAAAGTGTTGCTACTCCTCAGCCTTACAGGGAACTGGAAATTATTGAAGTGGCGGAAGAAGTCAGAAGAGTCACAAATGTAGGTTGGTAGGGCCTGGACAAGAGGAGCAAAAATGGAGTCCAGATATGAGGAGATCAGTTCGGTGGGGCAGGAACAGGCTGAAACATAGGTCTCCCAGGACAGTCCTGCTTATGGATCTTGGGGAGGAGGTAGAGGTGGGCTGTGCGGGTTTGGGGTCTATGAAGTTGGAGGCTGTGGGAGCAAGCTCCCCAGAGCAGATGAGGTCATTGACTGTCTCGGTGCTGATGGCTTGGTGTTCAGTTGTGGGGTCATGGTCCAGGGGGAGGTGGGAGGAGTTGTCAGAGAGTTGGAGTTCAGCCTCTACCAGGTAGAGGTTCTTTCACCAGACGACCAAAAAAACTGGGCGCGGAGGCGGTGGAAGAAGATCTCAGCATCATGTCGGGATCAAAAATTCATTGAGGTGGAGGCGTAAGGAGATTAAATTGAGGCCTTCCTGAGGACGGATTGTTCGGGATCAGAGAGTGGGAGGTCAGAGGGGATAGTGAAGATATGGTAAGGAGTGGGATTGGGTGGAGGAATGGGGTCAGGAGAGGGGTTGGCATCCACGAATCATTGAAGTTTGTGATCTTTGCTGTCTAAAAGAAAGAAAAATTGTATTTAAAATAATTATTATTGTAAAATAATTATTATTGTAAAATAATTATTATTGTAAAATAATATTGTGAAAAATTATTATTGTAGATTGCTCTAGCTACTTCCACTATTGTGTATGAATTCCATTTCCCATTGAAATTAATGTTTGTATATGGCTGACACATCCAGACTGATAAGAGAACCTAATTGTGCTTGAACTAGGGTATCAGTCTTATCCTAAAAGAAGCTTCTGACTGTCTATAGTTAGATTTTGACCCTTCAGAGACTAACATTCAACAAGAGGAATATGGCCCAGTCATACATGATACCCTTTTTGCACACCCTTTTACTTCAGGACTGTTTATGGGGAGAAATATCTAACATTTCATGAGGGATTTGATGCAAAAAATGTAATAACATCTCCAATTAATTTATTGAGCTGACACTACATGGAAAGATTTCAGATCTTTCTATACATCAGGTTGTTTTCACTGTGGATAAGTGATGAATTGATGCCGAGGTGACAGCTGCATTGCTGTATTTGCTCCTAGAATTAGAATTGCATATTCCCTTTGGGCTTGTGGAAAACATCTGGGGCCTGTAATTTGCAACAATGATGATCTTATGTTCTGCTGGCCTTGCTGATCAGATAAACACATCTGTGTCAAATACTTGCCCATTATACAAGAGTGTCTGAGATTTTCCAGAAACTTGAATGCTCTTATCGGTGGAGAAGGCGTACTTTAACAGCCCAACACTGTGCTACGTAATTGATGAAAAAGACAGATTTTGATTTGTAGCAGCAACATGCTAAACAAAATGAAGACATAAGAATGTAAGAATAAGAACATAAGAACATAAGAATTAGGAGCAGGAGTAGGCCATTCGGCCCCTCGAGCCTGCCCCGCCATTCGATAAGATCATGGCTGATCTTCAGACCTAACTCTACTTACCTGCCCTATCCCCACATCCCTCTATTTTTTAAAAATCTATCAGTTGAAGATGTTCAAGGACTGAGCATCTACAGCCTTCTGGGGTAGTGAATTCCATAAATTCACTACCCTCTGAGTGAAGGAATGTCTCCTCAACTCTATTTTAAAAGGCTGACCCTTAATTTTAAGACTGTGACTCCTGGTTATAGATTCTCCTACCAGGGGAAACAGACCCTCAGTGTCTACTTTATCCAGCCCTTTAAGAATCTTGTATGTTTCAATAAGATCTCCCCTAATTCTTCTTTACTCTAGAGAATACAGCCCTAGTTTATTCAGCCTATCCTCATAGGTCAGTCTCCTCATCCCAGGAACTAACCGAGTGAATCTACGCTGCACCCCCTCTAGGGCAAGTATGTCCCTTTTTTAAATAAGGAGACCAAAACTCTAGGTGCGGTCTCACCAAGGCCTTATACAGTTGCAGCAAGACTTCCCTACTCTTGTACTCTAAACCTTTTGCAATAAACGCTAACATGCCGTTCGCCTTCTTAGTTGCTTGCTGCACCTGCAAACTAACTTTTTGAGACTGGTGTACAAGGACACCCAAATCCCTCTGAACACTATCACTATCTAATCTCTCCCCCTCTAGAAAATAATCTGTTTTTCTAACTAGGTGAATAACTTCACACTTCCCCACATTAAATTCCATCTGCCACCTACTCGCCCACTCCCCTAGCCTATCTATATCCCATTGCAATCTTTTTGGATCATCCTCAGAGCTTACTCTCCCACCTAGTTTAGTGTCATCCGCGAATTTAGATACGTTACATTCAATGTCCTCGTCTAGATCATTGATGTAAATTGTAAATAGCTGAGGCCCAAGCACTGATCCTTGTGGCACTCCACTAGTCACATCCTGCCAATTCGAGAATGACCCGTTTATCCCTACTCTCTGTTTTCTACCCGTTAGCCACTCTTCAATCCATGCTAATATGTTCCCATTCGTTAATCCTGTGAGCCTTAACCTATAGCCTTTTGTGTGGCACTTTGTCAAATGCTTTTTTAAAATCTAAATATACTACATCTACTGGTTCCCCCCTATCTAACCTGCTAGATACATCTTCAAAAAACTCTAAAAGATTAGTTAAGCATGACTTCCCTTTTGTAAAGCCATGTTGACTCTGCCTAATCTTGTTATGGTCTTCCAGGAATCCTATAACAACATCTTTAATTAAGGACTCAAGAATTTTCCCTACCAGAAACTAACTGGTCTATAGTTCCCCATCTTTTCTCTCCCACCCTTCTTAAATAGTGGTGTTACGTTTGCAATCTTCCAATCAATGGGAACCGTTCCAGAATCCAGAGAATTTCGGAAGATCAAAGACAAGCCATCCACTATCTCAGTAGCCACCTCTTTTAAAACCCTAGGATGTAGGCCACCAGGTCCAGGAGATTTATCAGTTTTAAGACCTGACAATTTACCTAAAACCATTTCTTTACTAATATTAATTCCCCCAAGTTGCTCACTAATGTTCCCCTCTATTCTTGGTAGGTTTTCAGTGTCTTCTAATGTGAAGACAGTAGCAAAGTACTTGTTTAATGACTCTGCCATGTCTTTGTCCCCTACTGTAATTCCCCCCATCTCTGCCTGTAGCGGACCCACATTTACCTTGGACAGCCTCTTCCTCTTTATATATTTATAAAAACTCTTGCAGTCTGTCTTTATGTAAGCTAGGCAAAAGAAAACCAAGGTCCATCTAGTTTGCCTTCCATTACCCTGGAAGTCTCTTTACATGTTATGTCCCAAACTATATACTGTATCCCGAGATATTAATAAGCACAAAAGACTAAGCTAGGCAAGAAGACAAATTGATTTTAACTGTTATCTATGATTCTATGAAATGCTTTGCTTTATGCAGTCAAAAATATTTAAGGCTATTCTTTCTCTCTGATTTGTGAAAATGTCTATTAAAACAATGCAATGTCTGGTGTCCCAACAGACATGTTCTCAAATCCTCCAAGTTTGGTTCTACGTGTTTTCTAGGTTTAATCAGTGACGGGGCTGAAGTGTGGATCACAATCCTATGTTAAATTTCAGTGTGTTTTTCCCCAGTGGAAATTGTGCTTTGACAAAATAAAAAAAACACTAGTCATGTTTTTTTCAGCTAATATGAATTTCAAGTGATTTAAAGTGAACATAAAAGTGCAACATTAAACGTTATCCTATAATGAAATCTGTCCAGCCTTTTCAGTCTCTTGAGGAAGGTGCTAATGTAAACCCTCGAGTTAAGAATATATACATTGTAGAAAAGTGACTGTGTATTTAGAGGTGAACTGCAGCTTATAGTTTTACATTGCCAAAACATCTCAAAGTTCCTCCACAAAATTTTACTCTAAGTATAGTGACTATGACATGGCAGCCAAATGTATATACAGCGATGTCCTACAAACAGTAGTGTAAGAAACCAATTTTTTTCAGGAGGATTGTTGTCCAGGACATCAGGAGAAACCCCTTCTCTTGTAATCCTAAGTAATGCATAGGATCTTTAACGTCCACCTGGACAGACAGATGACACATGGTTTAAAGCCTCATTAAACTGTAATTTGTTGTAGAAGAATGGCACCTCAGACATTGCAGCACACTGCCAACACTGCATGTGATGTCAGCCTAGACTCAGTAGAAGCTTAGTATCCTGAAGGAAGACTTGAACCTACAAACTTCTTACTTAGAGGTAAGAGTGTTACCAGCCAAAGCAGGCTGCGGCCTGGTTAATGGAAGGAACCCTAATTCTACATGAAACTTCTTTATCTGAATAGAATAATCTTTATCATATTTTATTGTTTTATTTTTAGATGGTTCAAGTGGAAACAAACTCCGCAAGATAATGCAAAAAAGAAGCGGTGAGACAAATCTAATTTGGTCTGGAATTAAGTTAATTTCTCTGCATGAGATAAAAAGAAATCCAAATAACTTTCTTTCAATGGATTCCTTAAGTTTACAAAGTATTTCATCAATGATTTTTAAGATGACAAATATTTATGGAATCAATAATTTTATTTATTTTTAAAAAGTCATTTTAACTGTGCGCTGTGTTCTAGCTGAAGAGAGAGCAACTCTTTCAGTGCCTGAATCCAAGGCCAAAGAGTTTTTGAATGATCTGAAGCGTCCAAAACGTCAATTGTGGGACAGATCCCGTGAGGACGTCCAACAGTGGTACCAACAGTTTATTAACATGGGATTCAATGAAAAGGTAAGTCACGGCTGAACTTTTCCTTCAAACCTGTTGGCCATTTTAGTTCTCAGATACAAATGATCACTGCCACTTAATCTTGTTAAATACAGTGGGTTGTATAAAAATGTGGTAAGTGTTATGATAATTATCAGTGGTGCTTATTGTCAAATTGTGGGAGACTCAGATTCTGGAGGTGCAGTGTCTCAATGCTGATTCCCCCAGGGAAATACTGGGATGGGTGTTGCAGCCGATTCAAATTACTCCTGCAACAATACAGCAGCAGAGGGGTAAAACCTATCTCATGATGGTCTGACATGTTCTCACGCGTTCTGTATTAGTGGAGGAACAATCCAACCTGGTAAATTCTGAATCTCAATGGCAGAAAGCGCCGACATAATGGATCAAAAAGTGACGTCACTATGAACGCTTGATCGCCAAAAGCCAGTTATGTATCTCTGAGACAACGTTTCTGATACCTCCTGTTTAAAATAACCCAAGGAGTCAGAAGGATTGTCACAATATCTGCAGAAACCAACCTTTACTCAGAGGCATTTTAACAGAGTTGGTGGTTGGGGGAGGGGGAAGGAATGGTTGTTCATATGTATTTTTCTCCTGTATATCAATGGATTCCCAATAGTGGAGGAACCAGGCAACACAAACCAGATGGCTGTAAGTTGAAATCCCTGCCTGTGCTGAATTAGCTGATCTCAGGCAGGGCAGCAGTTTGACCTATAATTTTCAAGTTGCCACATCTGAATTTGTACATAATCTCTCATTTTTACCTGTATAATATTATGTATTATATAAAGACAAGGTCTTTTTGAGCATGTGTTCATTTGCAAACATCTCAATAGCAGCACATTCTTTTAAACACTGCATATGGTTCTGGTCACCGTGACATAAGGGTTCTGCTCAGGCCCCAGAGGCAGTGCAGCGGAGAGCAATGAGGATGATTTTCTAATGTTAGAAGAATGAGCTGTGAGCAATGATTAGATAAGACAGGGCTCTGCAGTCTTGAGAGAACGATGACAACACCACCAAAATTACATTTGTATAGCTCCTTTAATGTCAGGAGGACGTCCCAAGGGGCTGGACAGACAAGAGTTACGGATCCAAGCTAAGGGTTGGTGTGGGGAAGGGTGGAGGGCAGGGGGTTAAGCGGGGAGATCGAAAGCATGGGCAAAGAGGAGGATCTTAAGGTGGGACTTGAAGGTGGTGAGGGAGGGGGCAAGACGGAGAGACTGCGGGATGGAGCTCCAGAGGGTGGGTGCAGAATGGCAGAAGGCCCGCCCGCCAATAGTGGGTCAAGCAAGGCTGGGGACGTGAAGCACGCCAGAACCCGCTGAGCAGTCGAGGGTTAGGAGGTCAAGAGGTAGGGGAGAGCAAGACCGTGGAAGGCTTTTAAGGTGAGGACCAGGATCTTGAACTGTATCCTCTGTGTGAATGGAAACCAGTGGAGTCGTGTGAGGATGGGGGTATTAGGGTCGCAGAGCCTAGTGCGGGAGAGGACATGGGCTGCAGAGATCTGGATGATCTGCAGCCTGTGGAGGGAGGAGTTGGGGAGGCCGACAAGCAGTGAGTTTGGATAGTCAAGCCTCGATGTAATGAAGGCGTGTATGAGGGTTTTGGCGGCCTATGGTGTGAGACAGTGTTAGAGCCGGGCGATGTTGTGGAGGTGGGGGAAGGCAGAGAGGGTCATGGCACAGATGCGGGGTAGAAAGGATAGTTGAGGGTCAAACAAGACCTCAAGGTTCCGGACTGGCTTAGCAAGGTGGAGTGTGCAACCATGGATGGTGATGCTATCAGCGACTGAGGAGAGCCTCGGTCTTGTTGACATTCAACTGAAGTTAGAACAAGAATCAGAGGGGACCTCATAGAGGTGTACAACATTTTAAATGGGATTAAAAAGTAAACCCAGATCATTATTTTAGGATGTATCATGACAGCAGAACAAGAGGATATAGCTTTAGAGTTAGAAAGGGCAATTTCAGGGATAATACCCGGAAGATTTTCTTCAATGCAACGGGTAATTAACACATGGTTGCAGTAAAGGTGGAGGAAACTAGGACATTGGACTAATTTGAAAAGCAGCTTGATGCAGTGTTGGGATGGTAGAGTGAGTGTCCTGGAGGGTTGAGATCGATAGGTCTTTTACACTCAGACCAATTTTGTAATCTTGTGGGAGACAGGATGTTCTTTTATGTAGCAAATTCTGATAGGCTAGAATGAGAAACACATCAACAACAACAACAACAAGATTCCATTTATAAAGCGCCTTTCACGTCAGGAGGACGTCCCAAGGCACTGCACAGTTGGGTCATGACCCGAGCAGGGGGGAAATGGTCAGGGTGAGGGGAGGGAAGGGAGGGAGCGAGGAGGGGGGAAATGGTCAGGGTGAGGGGAGGGAAGGGAGGGAGCGAGGAGGGGGGAAATGGTCAGGGTGAGGGGAGGGAAGGGAGGGATCGAGGAGCGGGGAAATGGTCAGGGTGAGGGGAGGGAAGGGAGGGAGCGAGGAGGGGGAAGAGAGTCGAGAGGGGAGCTGAAGGCACGGTCAAAGAGAACATCAACTTAGAAGAGATTTTTTTCCCTTTTTAATGCACCTTATCATGGTAAAAGTGTTTCATAATCAATTACTCTCTTCCCTACTCAAACTGAACAGTTCTATGGCATGTGGACTGCATTTTGTGAGAAGAGAGTTCGGTCTTGATATTTCATTTAATTGTGGAATAAAAACCTCTGCAATTACTGTAACAAATTCTGGTGGAAGAAGGATCGACTAATATTTATTTTCAAATGATTCTAGAGATTTGAAGATGACATTGAATATTGGATGAATGTACAACGCAGCGGTGGTCACGATCAATCTCGCTATTACCACCACTATGATGAGAATGCTCCAATGGGTCCACACTATTCTCGGAGCATGCGCTATGGTGCTGATGTTAACTACGACGATTATTAAAGCAACCTGTTAGAATCTATCAGTACAGCTCCTCATCTGTCAGCACACTGCATGTGGGTGTGTTTCCTGAGTGTTGACGTATTTCCCTTAAAGTTGCATTGCAGGAATTTGATTTCCTTTATACTTACATTATAACAAATCATAAATGCTAATATTTTCTCAAATCCTAAGACTAATTTATCTTTACATTCCACTAAAATCTATTGTATTTTTAATATCCTATAACTTTCTTGAAGGATTTGTTAAGGTGCTTTTTAAAATTCAAAGACTGATGAGATTGAATGTCTTAATGTCTTTTTTTTATATCTTTTTATTTTAAATTTTACTCTGGGTATTGCAAGACCCATTTAGAAAAGCAGAAAATCACAGGATAAGATGAAAGTTACTAAATGTTGGATTAACTTCTTGTAATTTTAAAAATGATTTTCCTCATGATGTGCTGTGGAGAATGGTGCAGGTATTCTGAATGTTTTGATTAAACTGAATGCTATTGATTACATTTCCTGTTAATGCAATCCAATTACTGTACCATGGCTTCAAATGTTAATATGCAATCTTCTATTAAATGGATAGCAAGCAATTTGCACACATGCTGTGTTTTTTTAACATTAATTTATATGGATTAGTATTGTAATCAAACCTTGAGATAGAATAATTCTAGAATGGCACTAAAACTGATCTTTAACTAAGGAGATAATGGCAAGGAATTATAGAAGCTTTCAATATAGATCAGCAAACTGTTTTTATTAAAACTTAAAAAGTACTCAAATTTATGCTTGGCAGACAATTCAACTAATAGTAATAATAAAAAAATACAGCTTCATTTTGTAATTTCATTATTATAATTTATTGTCAATTAAAATACAATCTGAAGATCAGAAAGAAAGGTTCCTGTTTTAGTGTCCACAGAACTAGCAAACAGTGGGACCCACTTATAGAAAACTCAATAAGAAATCAGTTTACAACAAAAACAATTCCGACTCCAAGTTTGCTTGCCACATGGAAAAATCCTGTCATAATTGAAACACAATGCACATTTACTGAAATTCTAACCACTAATCATCCATAATTCAGCTCATAAGGAACAGTAGAATGTAACTCAGCGATCAATAGAAACCAACTCTCGTTGCAGAGTTTAATTTTTCTGCTTTGTTCATCTGTTACACTTTTTAAAAAAGCATTAATTCCAGTTTACCTGCAGAAAACAAGACTATCGTTGTGCATCACAACCTTTTGAAGAATACAGTTTTGTTCAGGATAGGGACCTGACACAGACTGTGCTTCTTTAGAAAGGTAAGATTACTAAACTTTCAGCTATGGACCAGATTCAAATCCAGCCCAGAATGATGGGATAAAAGTCCAATCTGTCAGTCGCAACCCAGCTTCATTTTGTGTATGAACCCACAGCATAAAACTGTCCACAATATGGTAAACTAAATTGTCAATTATATGTTGAGAAGCCTTCAATAAGGCTGATGTGGGGAATAAAAAAATACTGTGGATAATCTCCATTTGAATTTGGGGTTAAGGCACATTATTGGGGAAAGAATAAAGGGAACTTCCATTCCAAGCCATGTCTGGACTAAGAGTGGAGTGCTTAAAACTAAATGTATTCTGGAAATTTGATAGTCACCTGGACGAAGACAATAATTCAGCAAAAGTTAATTTAATAAACGATCGCAGGACTTACATTTTAATTTCATTTTTTTTAAAAAGTCAGCGACACAAACAGCTCTTGATCTAGTAAACCCCTGATAGGCAATTAGTGTTTAATAATAATAATAATAATAATAATCCTTGCATTTGATATAGCGCTTTTCACGTCAGGAGGACGTCCCAAAGCGCTTCACAGAACACACTGTAAAGTGAATTGACTGTATATTTGTGGGCGAACGCGGCAGCCAATTGCGCACAGCAATGTCCCACAAACAGTCATAGATTGAAAATGACCAATTTAATTATTGTTTTTAGTTTTGGAGGGATTATTATTAGGCGTGTGGAGTAAGGAAACTTGCCCAAGGTTTCGCCCTGCCTGGAATTGAACTCAGGTCTCTCACTTGCAAAGCGAGTGCTCTAACCACTGAGCTACAGGACTCCAGTTTAATTATAAAAGGGGTCCATTGCAAAATAGAAACATGATCAAGAAATTAATTTAAGGCAAAGTAAACCAGTAGTGATGGGATTCTCTTCTATCCTGTTAATTCAATGACTGTTTTTCTACGCTCACTTATTCTGAGACGTTTTGTTAAGAATTGAGAATAAATTCTGCAAGTCTACACTCAGTTTCTCTATAAAACTCAATTCCAAAGACATCATAATTTTCATTAAAATAAGGTGTAGCATTTACAATAGTAATCTGCAGTTACATCACTTGTTTCAATTTTCAGCTGCCACACCAACCAAGTGTTATAAAGGACAATTATATTTTCATACAAATAGCTGAGCAACAGTCCCATTGTGTGGAGAGAACTAATATAATGAATATTAGAATTCCTGCCTTTAACATAGCTTTCCTCTTTCAAATATGTTGAAATTCTTCAGAGATGTATTGCCATCCCATGGAGTAAAGCAGGAGCAGAGGATGGATGATCTAGGTTTTTTTTTATAAATTCAATTTATTGCAGTCAAATGATCTCTGATGATTAACGGTGTGTTATAAAGTCTCAATCTCAAGTGACCCTTAATTATTTGAATGGAATGAAAGACAGGCATTGAAACCTTGAGTACAACAATGAGAGGTAGTTTAACACGGTCAAAAGCAGCAACAAGTCAAAGGGAAAACTTTAACTACAGTTGCAATCTAACACTTGCTCCATTTTGTTCAAGCTGCAAACATAAATAGAAGCTTGCAAAGGCAGGGCAGAAACTAGTGGTCGGAATCGTATAATATTCCTTGCATTTGTTATAGCACCTTATGTCTGCAAGACGTCTCAAAGTGTTTTACAGAATATACTGTAAAGTGAATTGACTGTATACTTTGCGGGCGAAATGCAGAAGCCAATTGCGCACAGAATCTTGGCATGTTCAGGCACCAAAGTGCCTGGGATGCTGAGCTCTAAGGTCATGGGTCAAAGCACAAAGAATGTAAGTACAACACTGTTTACTGCTAAATTCCAGAGGAATCCTCTGCATAATTGTCTTAAAAAGTAATGACTGTGAAAAAAGAATACGCGCCAACGAAGTAACACAAGAGAAACAATTTAATGATCTCCATTTTATAAGGAAATGTTGTAGTTTTACTCCACTCTACCTGGAGAGCCTTGTACACACTACACCAAGTAATTGTTCCTTTCAATGGAGGAAACGGGAGCTGCTGGATAAAAATTAGGCACAGTGTTTTTCTGAGATAAATGATATTGTTTCATTCTCCAATTTACTTTACACATTACATCTATAATAATAATAATAATAATAATCCTTGCATTTGATATAGCGCTTTTCACGTCGGGAGGACGTCCCAAAGCGCTTCACAGAATAGACTGTAAAGTGAATTGACTGTATATTTGTGGGCGAACGCGGCAGCCAATTGCGCACAGCAATGTCCCACAAACAGTCGTAGATTGAAAATGACCAATTTATTATTGTTTTTGTTTTTGGAGGGATTATTATTAGGCGTGTGGAGTAAGGAAACTTGCCCAAGGTTTCGCCCTCTGCCTGGAATTGAACTCAGGTCTCTCACTTGCAAAGCGAGTGCTCTAACCACTGAGCTACAGGACTCCACACTTGAATAGCCTATGCTATGCACTATTCCACAGATACCATCAACTATCTAGTAGTTCACCTCACATAGCTTGTGAACTTGGTTGAGAACTACTGGCAGACTACTTGTTAGCTCAACCAGATTCTGTCTTCACCATAACTCCACATGGACTTTCATTGAGAATCATTAAATGATGATCGTGAACCTTTGCCAATTATTTTCCCCCTTCTAGCCCAGGGCCACTAAAGGCAACAGAAACATGGCTTCTGCTGTCCCAGCTGAGAAAAACTAACTCAGCTCGGGAGCTGGGATTTAATTTAGAGCCTTCCTGATCTGTGTGGGTCGAAATCACTCCAAGCCAGTCTAAACTCACAGATTGTCAGAACGATATCAGTTTCTGTAATTGCTTGTTATGTTTCTATTTGCATGTGCAGGTTGAACAAATGAGTGAGAGTATTATATTGCCTAATATAGGAAACAGCTTCTTTCATTCTTTTGACTTGGTGCAGCTTTTGCATTTATCCAGTGAGCCATTGCAAAGCTGCCAATTTTTTTAAAAAAAGGGACAGCCATCCCTAGATGATTTTCCTTTCCTCCATGAGATAAAACAAAATACAAAATTACATTTTTATAGCGCCTTTCACTTCGAGAGGACGTCCCAAGATGACATTAATTCCAATTTGGTGGAAAGTATTTGGAATAGCCATTATTAGTTTTCCTTTTAAATAGAGAATCTTTTTTCATGTTCAATGGTAAGCAAAAAGGAAACTTGTCTAATTTTTATAACTATGTACCTATACATTTAATAAATGTGGAGTTGCATTGAGTATCTCAAAGATGACCTTTTCTATAATCCTCGGTGATGTAAAATAACTTTTATACAATATTCTCAAGAAGACATTATTAAATCAGCACAATTAAACACTTTACCCAGTTATACACATATTCCTCCAAAGCTCATGTACAACGTAACAGTCAACAAAAACTTGTATAACAAATTAGATTCATACAAAAAGAAATATATTCCCCAATGTCAAAACAACAAGTTTACAACTCTCTCTAAAAACAAGAGTAACATTTTGCAGCTTAGGAAACACTTACATGGCAGATCAACCACCAGATAGATGCCACTCTGTTATTCACCTGACAATACTGTTAGCTAGTTTGGTCAACCATTAACTTATGTGATGTTGATAAAATTAAAAGTAGTACCCTTTTGTTATAAATAATTCCATTTTCAATAGCTCTATTCATTTATAATGGGTCATGAGGAAATCCTTCACAGCGATAAGTAAGTCTCATGACAAATAGAATAAACTGAAGCAAAAGTACAAAAACGAAGCAGCCATTTATCACTATGCTATTTTAAATAATGAGACAGATAAAAAGTGCAAGGCAAGATCTGAAAGTTTTTTTTAGGCACATCCATCTGTAGAAGCAAGCTCAAAGAATAATTCCAGTTCAGTTTCAGTAATGCTTTTTTTCCAGAGGTTTTCATTCCATTCCCTGTGAAACAGGAGGCTTGTCTCACTTGCTACAGTGCATTAAATATGTCTCAGTCTGCCTTTCTTTGTTCTAGCAGGTTTTGGTTTGGGGATGTATTGATTATTTGCCTGATATTCTAGTTCTTTACGAAAGTAGTCAATTGTTTTGTTTAGGCCTTCTTCCAGGGGGACCTATTCAGGGAAAAATACAACACATCAGAAATAATAATTCTTGCATTTAATAAAGCAGCTTATGTCTTCGTGATGCTTCAAAGCGTTTCACAGCATATACTGTAAAGTGAATTGACTATATTTTGTGGGCAAAACCGTCAGCCAACGTTTCGTCCTGCCTGGTAAACTAACTCAGGTCTCTTGCTTGTGAGGTGAGTGCTCTAACCACTGAGCTATAGGATTCCACGAAGTAGCTAGCCTTGAACATTTTCTCTATATTTACATTTTGCCATGAGAATCCAGATACTGCTTTAAAAAAATATCGACCTGTCCACTCCCTCCGCTCAGCAGGCTCTGTCCTGCTCCCCATCTCTGTCTGCCACATTTGCCTACAAACACGCAGTAATTAAACTTTACAGAAAAACTGTGAAGTGCTTTGAGAGGTTCCGGTATGATAAAGCGTTTTGCCTTTCCTTTGCTTAACAGCTATAGGGACTGTATCCTTACCACAGGTTCCCATCCCAGCAAAAGCTTAGCTTTGCTGATATCAGGATTTCTTCGCTGTGGGTCATCTTGTGCTTCTGGAAGAGACAGAATTTCACTTCTGCTCCCTGTTCGGCAAAACAAGAAAACACTTTAAGCAAAAACAGGAGACTAAAGCATTCTTTCTCAGATTAGTACTGTGTTTATAAAGTACAATATAAATCAAGTTCAGCTGTGCAATTCGGAAGCAATTGCACTCAAGCCCCAATGCTTAGACCACTTTTGGCAGCAACTGAATTAGTATTAACCCAGTGGCTCTGCTCCCAAATGGTGCCTTGTGTGATCCAAAACCTTTTAAGGGATCATATTTTAGTGCTTTTAAAGAACCAGTCACACAGCAGCTTTTTAATAGCTTTAAGAAAAAATGAACAGGTTTGGTACATCCACTTAGATGGTTAAACTAGACAGATTTTAGTATTTTAACAGCTCTTAATGTGTGGGCCGCAATTCCATCATGGTCTAGATTTACTCTGTTTTAGAGCGGAAGGGTGCTGGACTTGTAGAGTCTGGTGCAGCAGAGGGCACGGGTTACAGCATTCTGTAAGCTGGATGTCTACAGCTTATGTAGAGGAGCTGGGGTGTTCAGCCAGCAGGAATAATCAAGCCCGGATGTGATGGTGGAGCAATATAGTGAAAAATGGCATAACATCTGCTTTTGGGAAAATGAAGAAAGAAATGCGTGTCAAAAATATGGTTCCATCATGGAAACAACTTCTTGTTAAGATTTACGCCCAAATGTTCAGCAGATTTTAAAACTCCAGGCCATTTATTTTCGGATGTTAAATTGTTCCATTAGGTAATGTCTTACATTAACCTAATCTCCCCGCCAACATTTGAAACAGTTTGATAAACTGATACTTAGGAGATGTTGGAATGTGTTTCCAAACGTACTCTCCCTCAGGGCTGGCAATAGGCCACAATGTATTGTTCAAGGAAGAGGTGGAAGTCCACACCAAAGAAGACTCCATTTAATCTGGTCCGGCTAAACCTAAACTTCCTTTTTAACAGCTGGATTCTGAACCCTACAGACAAAATCACACCAGACTTGTTTTTTTATTATTAGCTTACACATTTATGTAAATTAAGCAATTTTCATTGAAAAAATAACTTAGAATTAATACTCACTATCAAAGGAACTAGTACTTGAACTTGCATCAAAATGACAATTAATGGGGTCTAATTTGCAATAGTAGCAAAACAATTTATAAATGGAAAATCCTGTCTCTCTGGAACTTGGGTACTGATCTCAGTTTCTGTGAAGCTAAAAGAGGCTTCTGACAAACAGCAGAAGAATGGATTAGCTGGTGGCCAAACCAAATAAAGCAAGTTAACAATTTGCGAACCTCGCAAATTGAAGTTGAATATTGCCTAAAACTTGAATCATCAGTAAAGGAAACACAATAGGTTTTGGAGAAAGCCTGAGTCATCCATATTTATAGTTTTTGAGGATATCCTTCACCTGCAATAAAAGCTGTATTCCACAGAAACAATGCATGCATACAAAATTGTTTTTTGTTGGGAGGGGTGTGAACTGTGACTTATTGTTTTACATTAGGTTCAGCAATGGGAAAAGTTTTGTTTTGAGTGTAGTTCAGGTAAAACCAGAGTGGGGCTCCAATTGTTGCTTTGTTTAGATGTGAAAAATCAAACTATGGTGACACTGCATATTGAATTAATGATCATTAAACATAAATGACATATAACTGAATGAAGTTTTGCTAGGCCAGAAGCAAAATTATTAGTCAAATTATTAGTCAAGGCAAAATAACTTATGAAGAACCAGCAAGTTTGAGTGCTATTGTTTCATTTCTGAGATTCTGATTTGAATTCAACCTGAGATGGAATGGATAAAGGGTCTACTTGTTGCTCACTGCAAGGGTCCAATGTGACATGAGCTTGTGAGTCTCAACCCAGCTCTTAAATTGCAAGACAACTCCAGCGATCCATACAGTCAGCTGGTTTGGGAAGCAGAAAAAGAGATGTTGGGAATATGAGGGTACTCTTCTAAGTTTAAGGTAAAGATACATTATCGGGACGAGTATGGATGAATTCCAGCTGAACTCTGCATCTGGCTAAGCATTAACTAAACTGAGAGTACTTGAAGCTAAAGCCACCAGCCCCATTGCCATTCACTCACCAAACGTTCACCAATAAAACCCAACTTACCAACAAGACCCCTAATTAATTTGGCAAATTCGAGAATGGTGTGTTCTTCTGGATTCCCCTGTGAAAAGAAAGTAAGTTTGTGTTAACTCTTACAAATAAATATCAAAAGAACGATAAAATATATTTTAATATTTAATTCTCATGCCACAGTTCACAAGAACTGGATTTGATGCTTTACATACTTTTGGGGAATAGACGTTTCCTGATAATTCTGACATTGTACACACTTTCTATGGTGATAAGTATTAAATTGGAAAGAATTGTACTTTTACATGCTATTTGTTAATCCAAGCACTGCTGTGCATATACTGTTGATTCAGCAATTCCTAACAGGCTAACCAACAAGCAACCAAGGTATTGTATAGTAACCTAAAAACATTACAACTGGCTGATTTAAAGCAAGTGAAGCAAGCATTCACTCAGTACTGGTGAACATGCTGAATATTTGTACCTCTAGTACCGTAAGACAACCATTTGTTGCTCAAACAACTCTGTGCAAAGATTTGGCCCAAATTCTTAAATTTAGTCTTAATTTGGGATTCACTTTTCTGTAGTAGTTTAAAAAAAATGCGGAATATAACTCCCTAATTCACCACCCTTTGAGTGAAGAAGTTCTTCCTCAATTCAGTGCAAAAGGGCTGGCCTCTGATTTTAAGGTTGTGACCCCTGGTTTTGGTTTCTCCAACCAGGAGAAACAATCTCCCACTATCTACTCTATCATGCCCTTTGATGATCTTATAGGTTTCTATAAGATCCCCTCTAATTCTTATATATTCTAGAGAATATAGGCCCAAATTGGTCAACCTATCCTTGTAACTCATCCCCTTCATCCCTGGTACTAACCTAGTAAATCTACGCTGCACCCCTTCCAAGGCAAGTACATCCTTCCTTAAATAAGGAGACCAAAACGGCACACAGTATTCCAGGTGTGGTCTCACCAGGCTCCTGTACAGTTGCAGCAAGACTTCCCTACTCTTATACTCTAATCCTTTCATAATGAATGCTAACATACCGTTCGCCTTCCTAATTGCTGCTGCACCTGCAGACTTACTTTCTGTGATTGGTGTACAAGGACACCCAAGTCCCTCTGGACGCTAACACATTCCAACCTCTCCCCTTCTAAAAAATAACCCGCTCTACTGTTTTTGCTACCTAGGTGGATGACTTCGCACTTCCCTACATTATACTTCATCTGCCACCTACCTGCCCAATCACCTAACCTATCTATGTCTCGCAGCATCTTTTCAATGTCAAATTAAAACTAAATTTAAGAATTTGCTGAAATTCTCAATAATCTGAAACTTTAAGAAAAAGCTTTAAAGCTAAAACCATGTGAAATTTCAGGCCTTAGTTCTTTTGCGTGCAGAGCACAGGCCTTGAGTGGTTGAAATGTTAGGAATATTAACTGTATATTTCAGTCCATGTATGTGAAGATTTTGTGGGTACACTGCAGCTTCCTTATTTAAAAAATGTAAATCCATGAGAAAAATTCTAAGTAATAGGAACTGTTTCAATTTATTCACTTAGTTTCTCTTATTTTTTAAATAGGTTTCACTTTTCAAATATTTATTGCGCACTTCGAGGACAAGGGGAACGACTTAGCTAAACCTCTGTACAAATTTACATTTATATCCACTACTTCAAACACATACAATTGCTGTTCCTTTTCAAATGAACATTTAAGACGATAATAATTCCTTGCATTTGATATAGCACCTTTATCAAGTCCTTGAGAAGCCTCAAAGCGCTTAAGCAATGAAAAGTGGTGATCCATAACAGGAGAATTGCCAGGGTATTAAAATCACAAGCAAAATTGCTCATGCATTTAACTACAAATTAGTCACTTTTAGCATATACCAATGAAGTGTTTTGAAACATTCTCCTGATGTGAAAGGTGCTATATAAAATGAAAGTATTTTTTCTCTAACATACCACATTCACAGGACTGCTGACATTATTGTTCATCAAAACCACCAATCCATTCACAAGGTCACTATAACGAAAATTCAAAAGTCATTAAATAAACGTGCTTCACCTGTTCATCTATGCATTCTGTATGGTGAGTAACTCAATCAAAATGTATTCAGGTCCCAGTGAGTTTACCCAGGTCTCTACTGCTAAAATGAGTTTATGTTTAAATACATCCTCATGGAGGGGGTTAGGGAGACAGAGGAAAGCAGGGGGCGGTCTCCCTGGAGATAAATCGGTTCTGAGGAGACATGTCTGGCGAAGTCACGTAAGTCATTAGTAACCACATTCTTGTTTGCTGATCAGCCTAACATTTGGTTTATGTATGAGCTAGATACATTAAAAATATAGTAACAGAACAAAAACATTCTGAGTACATAGGAGTAGTTTGTTTTTGTCACTCATGTTTTCCCTGCTTCTCCTGTAAAAGACTGTTTTTACCTTTTACTGTGCAGTGATACAATGGATCTGCCTGTCTGTTACCTGCCTCAACTGGCCATTATTAGTAAGCGTCCAAGACGTTGCCACACGTGAAAGGTGCTATATAAATGTAAATTTGTTGTTGTATTCTTGCATGTACAACATATCTACTGATGGATAGAGTGAAGACACAGCAGACAGCATATGTTGTGCAGCTGATAGAGGCAAATTTCCCGTGAGACTCCCAGAAATTGCGAGATTTCAGGAAGATTTCAGGTCAATTCCTTAAATTTCACAATTTCATACTTGCCATCTTGGGATGGTAAAAATTAATAAAAACTAGCATGGAACAATTTAAATTTGTGGTCTTTATTAGGAACAGACAACAGAACTTCATTTACTACTTCACTAGATAATGTTAAACAAAAATATTTTGTGGTTAAAAGTAACAAGACTGTTGCATTTTTTAAATATCAGCAGTTTCCTATACTTCCAGTAACTCCAGTCTAGTTTCATTTCTAAACAGCGAGGAGCACCAGCTAACAAAAGAATGCCAACCACTTCAAACTAGTCAGATATGGACCATTAAAAAGTGTACTACATTATTTTGAATGTAATTGTCCAGATTTATCCAGATGTAAATTGTAAAAAAAAGTCTTTAAAAAGCTAAGTTGCAAAGCCAAACACTAATAAGAAACACCGAACTACAAAATGATTTCTTTGTGCTGCTCATCACTGCTGCATTAACTTTTTTAGGTCAGCCGGGTGTCTGCCATAAATCACTATGCTTTCAACATACAAAATACAATTGAACAAGTATGACCATGATCTTAAAAGTTTTCTTGAATTCACAAAGTAGATAACTGCACTAAGATAATATATATTTAGAATATTTCTGTCATTCTAAAAAAAGTCTCCTTACCTTACATACTGAAAAGATCGGGTTTGAGATCCTGAACCATAAACCTGCAAACAGGTAGTTAACAAGCTTGTTAATCTTAAAGTGAAGTTATACACAGTTTTAGCAAAATTCTATAGAGCTTAGGTATTTTTTTTTCATTCAGAGATGTTGGAATGTATTATGGCAGGTAAGGTGGTAGAGGTAGTCAATTGTGGATTTCAAGAGAGAAGTAGATAGGTATATGAAGGATAGAGGCTTGAAGTTGTACTGGGATAAAGTAGAACAATGAACACATTGCTTTATAATGATAATCCTTGCATTTGATATAGCGCTTTTCACATCTTCTAGATGTCTCAAAGTGCTTCACAGAATAGACTGTAAAGTGAATTGATTGTATATTTCTGGGTGAAATGCGGCAACCAATTGCGCACAACAGTGTCCCACAAACAGTTGTGGATTGAAGTTACCAATTTATTATTGTTTTTTTTCTTGAGGGATTATTATCCCTCAAGGTTTCTTGCCCAAGGTTTCACCCTGCCGGGAATCAAACCCAGGTCTCTCGCTTGCAAAGCGAGTGCTCTAACCACTGAGCTACAGGACTCCATGTAGGAGCAGATTCCTGGTCTGAATGCTTCTTCTGTGCTGTAAATTTCTATCATTCTGTAAATGTTACAGGTAAGTACAGTAACCTCATGGTGGATCTGTCATTGATTGCATTTACTGACACACACAAATTCTAAAAATATACAATATCATTGCAGAGGTTCAGGTGAGCTCTCCTCAGTATTGCACACGACAATTTTTGCATAGTATCTGAATTAAATTAGAAAGTGTGGCCAAAATCTGAAAACATGTTAATTGTTTAGTTTTTTTAAAAAAAAGATTAATACAAATCTTTGGGCCTATAATTCAAGAAGTGGTGTTCAGGAGCATTTGCTTTTTCAAACTTCTTTACATCTTTATCTGTTACATCCCAGCGCCTTGGGGCATACTCTCAACGTGAAAGGCGCTATACAAATGTAATTTTTTGATGTTGTTATAAAACTCTCAGATGAAAACACCAAACAAATGAACAGCAACGAGATGGATGTCAGATGTGCACTGTTGCATGTTAACTTGTACATTGACAACATAATAGTATTTATCACCCTCCCCCATCCGAACAGTAACCAATAAAATAATTTAAGGTCATCTGGCATCAGTTAAGACAAAATAGTGAAGGAACAGGAACTCTAAATAAAAATTGTTACCTAATAAGAGCCAGACCCTAAAGCTGGCAAAACTCATTTTCAAGGGAGGATGAAGAGAGAGACTTATAATAAAATCTCATCCTGTAGTTCAGTTGATTCCTTTTAAGGGGAGTTAAAAGAAAACCAATTGGCAGATTCAGGATTTCCTTCTTGAAATGTGAGATCAACTGTATTGACAGAATGACGGCTAAAACTGCTACCTCATCAAATTAGAACATGGTTAAAGAGAAGAGAAGCGGAAGCTGGGTATTTGGAGACTTCTGTTTATTGATTGTAAACTAGTTTAAAGGAATACTTCCCGAAGCGCTTTTATCTTTGAACCAGAAAATGCTGATGAAAGGACTGACAGATCTCTTGAAACAGAAAGAACCAAAGATAACAATGTTTGGTGATGTGCAACCATTATATCAGGAGACTTTTGCTGACCCCATTTATGGAAACAGATCCAAGGCTAATGGAGAAGATGAAAATTTCAAAACAACAGACTCCCTCTTAAGAGGATTTTATCCCCACAGTAAAGCAAGCATTTTCATTCTATATAGCTAAATATGTCAGACCAACTAGGGGCTGTTCTCCTTGGCGGAAGGGGTGGGAAGGGAGCTATACTGGTTCCAAGGTGACATGTCGGGATTGAGTTAGTTTGTTTCTTGAGCCAGCGGGTCCGCAATCCTGCAGGCAGATCAGCCAGACTTGGAGGGATCAGGTCACTGGCTGGTATTCTTTCCATTCAGATACTGTCAAAACATGTTGAGATATCCTCCCAATGTATAAATGTAAAGCGTATTGTGTTGTAAACCAAAGCCCTACCAGGTTGATGCAATTGAATATGTAACTGGCAAAATGGTTAAAATAGGGAAACGTATTTGTGAGAGGTGTAATGTCAGACTGGAGGAAGGAATAAGGATTAGTGTCTGGCTCCTTATTTCTAGTCTACATAAATGTCCTGGATACTGAAACTTATTGTAAACTGGTCACATTAGATAAACACAAATATGTGGGGAGAAGAAAGCAGCAAATGATGCAGCAAAGGATCTGGATAGGTTATGTTGTTAGTAGAAAAAGTAACATAATTAAATGTGAAGTATTAGCCCTGTTGCAATTATTTCAAGAAACGTGGAGCCTTTCTCTTGGTTATCCTGCTTTTTCCACCTAATACAAATTAATCTCCAAATTCAAATGAATTGGCTCCTCATTTCTTTGTTGTTTATGGGAGAATTACTGGTGCAAATTAGCTTTATTCCTAAACAAGTATAGTCAAACTATTTTCAGCACTACTTTGTTAGTTCTAGCCTAAAGTGGCCTTTATGTAAGGGTGGTCTTGATTTAATTCCTATGTTCACAGGGTTTGGGCTATGTGTAATAACAATATCTTGCATTTTTATAGCGCTTCCTTGACTAGGCCTGAAAATGTTTTAAAATGTTTTATGCGGGAAGCTGTGAGCATCATGTGGGTTGTTCAGTGTGGCACTGGTAAGTGCACTAGGAGTCTGGCAGGAGTCTACACTGAGGCTTGCAGAAATTGATCATGCATTACCAGTAAGTACACGGAGGTTCACTTAGAGTTGGCCACTGAAAAAAGGTGTCTGTACACCGACAGGGCTAAAAAGGAGTGGCTGCTAGTTGCGTTAAGACAGGTTATTGCTGAATAGCGGTGGTTTAGTATGGAAAATCAGTCAGGATTGTTCCAAGGTGGTTGTTGACAGCAGGTGGCTGCTGAATAGAGGTGGTTGCTTTAGCAATATTGGCGTAATATTGCTCACTATTAGTGGGCGGGCCTTCCACCACTCTGCACCCATCCTCTGGAACTCAATCCTGCAGTCCCTCCATCTCACCCCCTAACTCACCACCTTCAAGACCTACCTCAAGACCCTCCTCTTCGACCGTGCTTTCAATCTCCCTGCTTCCCCGCTTGCCCTCCACTTTCCCCCACCCCGACCCCTAGCTCGGGTCTGTAACTCTGTCTGTCCAGCACCTTGGGACATCCTCCCGATGTGAAAGGCACTATACAAATGTAATTTTGTTGTTGTTGTCATCGTTGTTGCTGGAACAAGTGGATATAATGAGCTATTTATGCTGCATCATTAGCTTGAATTCAGTATTTACGTATGAATCAGCTATTAAGAGCATGGATTCAATTCCTTGTGCCTCTGAAATCAGCTCAGGTCTCCCCGGGTTCAACATAAATCCAGCAAGCTTTTTTAAAAAGAAACTCCCTTAATCTTTTGAATGTTAATGCTGAGAATATTGCACGACCATTTTTTTGAGCATTAAAAAATGACCATGTCTTTTGTGAAGCTTCAGAGCTCTGTGCACATGCGTATTTATTTCTGTAACCATCTGTTCAATGGTGGAATCTGAGAAATTGGGTCCGCAGCTTTGATACCTGGTATTGTCTTCCTTTACATTGTTTTTTAATTAAAAGAAACATATTATTTAGAAGTCAAAGGCTGTTTGGTTGGTGAAATAATGGGTTTTGAGATTTTTGTAAAAACTCAGGATCCCACTACCTAGCAGTTGAAGGTTACAATTGGGAAATCAAACAAAGCATAGATACAGCTCTCTGGCCTCTCCCCCTGTGAATTACATTGAAAAAAAAATTTCAGTTCATTTGTTTTGATATATATCACATTCACTCCAAATATAATCCTAAAAGATAAATTGCATTGCTGTGGGTTGGTTCTCTCTATTTATTTACTGACCTTAAAAAGTCACAGTAACATTGGTGACACTTCAAAATTGAAAGTTTATATTCATCTCTGAATCCAAATGTTCATCGGTCTCACTCAAATATTACAATTTATATTGTAACCCAGCCCTGCTTGGTTGTATTTCCAAAGTCCCAACAGGGCTGAAATCAATTTGTTGTGGAGCTTTTGATATTTAGGTCTATACCGCTTATAATCTTCAATCCCTTTCATAATCAGACACAGCACCTAGGTCCTTCTAACAAATTGAATGTCATAATATTAACTAGTTTTGATCTATGCATTATTACAATCAGAATCGTTACTGCTCTTCTCTAAACCCTCTCCAACATTTTTTGAAGGTAAAGTACCCATACACACAATATTCCAAGTATGCCTTATCCACTTAATAAAAGATCAAATTGTTTGTTTCACATTTTCATCTTGTCCCATATCTTAACATGAACAGCACATTTTATACCTGGTATTATCTTCCTTTAGGTTGTTTTTTGGATAAAAATAAACAATAGAAGACTTTGAACAAACATTTGCAGAACAACAATAGATGGAGCCTCACTGTGTATAATAGGTTGGCAGAGGCAAAGATGGCTAAGCTTCTCAATATTATTTGTTGTATCAGTGACCAAATATATATTTTCCTATTAGCTCAAATGCACCCATGTAGTCTAAAAATCCATCAACTTATACTAAAAAAAAACAAAAGGCAAAATACTGCGGATGCTGGAAATCTGGTATAAACACAGAAGTCACTGGGAACACGTAGCAGCATCCATGGAGAGAAGAAAATTAGTTAACGTTTCAGGTCAATGACGAAAGGTCATTGACTTGAAACGTTAACTCATTTTCCTCTCTCCATGGATGCTATCTGACCTGCTGCATATTCCCAGCGACTTCTGTGTTTTTACATCAACTTATACTGTCAAGTTGAACTTATCAAGATTCAGGTACAATAAGAAATGACCAGATTGTTAAGCTACTAAACAGCCAGTGAAAAAACAGGTAATGGAAATTAAATTAGAAATAGCACTCAAGAGTACATTCCACACTCCCTTAAAAAATAATAGATAGCTGGAACGGAATTACATTAATCCAATTAGTATTCAGATGATAAATGTAGCATCACAACAAATTTAATTTGTTTTTCTTATTTTAAAACACACTTTAAAATATGTGCACATATATATATATATATAAAATATATAACAAATGATACTCACTGTTAGTCCTTCTCCCTGAAGAGCCTGCAGAATAAAATTGCTCACTACTCTGCCATCATTCATATGCATTCGAGGACCAAATGTATTGAATATTCTTGCAACTCGAACTTCTACTCCTTCCTGTGACAACCAAATATAAAACATCAGTACCTGCTCTTTAAAAAGAATGTTTTAGCAAGGAAAAAATTCATTATACTTTATTCTTTATAGCAATTGGTTTCCATATATCTTAGAATCTTGGCTGACAAAAGAAACAGAGGCTGCAAAATGAAATTTAAAAAGTACCATTTCAAATGTTAAGATTCCCTGCCTACCTTGTTGGCACAATTGGCACCTCATTTCAACCACAAAATATACAGTCAATTAATTCACTTTACAGTATATTCTGCGAAGTGCTTTGAGATATCTTGAAAATGTGATAAGGCGCTATATCAAATGCAAGGATTATTATATATTATATATAATTTTTCTTTGTCAGACAATGATATGTGCCGTGCACCAACCTGTTTCATGTAAGCATAACACATTGTTTCAGCAACTCGTTTTCCTTCATCATAACAGGCTCGTGGACCAATGGGATTTACATGACCCCAGTAATCTTCACGCTGTGGATGTACTTCTGGATCTTAACATTTTTTTTAAAAAAGAACATTTTAGTTAAACTGGCATTATAACTATCGCAAATAAACTGTTATAATATACAGGTAGCAAAATAGCTACAACATTAAAGTGCTGATCATAGATTTAACAATAGATGGAATTAAAGAATTGTAGGTGGGTCTCTGAGAATTCTGTCTGCTTAAAAGGCACCTGAAGAACTTATCAGTAACATTTTGTTTACGGATTGCTGCCCCATTCTGACCCATGTAATTTGTACTCTTTTAAACTCTGATATCTCATCTAAACATTCCCACGTGTAAACCATAGATAATGTCAACATTCTAAGCCACTGCAAGGGCATCACAGCCCAATCCAATGTTTCCAATCCACAAGCATGCTCACCTTCCCGAAGAGGTGAATACGTATGTACGTGAATGTGTCAATAGAAACCAGAAACGGGAAAACTGACTGACTGATTTCACCTTTTGCAGTACTAAGCTTATGTTTGAAAAGGATCTAGAGCTTACCTCCATACACCTCAGAGGTGGAAGCTAGCAGGAGACGTGCACCAACACGTTTTGCTAATCCTACAGAAATGCAAAATCCATTAGTTAACAAACTTATTGGGTATGACAACAATGACATAAATAAATACAAAATCACCCTATACTTACAGTATATACTTACAGTATAGGGTGAATCACAAACCTCTGCAATAAATGCAGAGTTAGAATTTAAATAAAATAACCAATCAACCAAGTAACAGCCTTACCTAACATGTTTAACGTTCCAATTGTATTTGTCTTCAATGTCTTGATTGGGTTATACATATAATTTGGAGGCGATGCTGGTGAAGCGAGATGATAAATCTGATCCACTGTTTTAAGTTAAAAAGAAAGAGTAAAATCAATCAGAGTACAAAGCAGACACAAGTACATAGCTTTCTCTACATTAACTAGAGTTACTTTCTCTCCATTCTGATGCACCAAATATTTGGATTTTCAATTGAAGATCACCTTTATCAAATTCCAGATCATGTCACATCCCAGGAGTAAACTTTAACTATCCCTTTATTCACATCAGCTGTGAATGGAAGGGAAAAAAAACAAACTTATTTCACACAGTGTCCCAAGTACAATCCTTAATACACTGAGGAAATATTACCCCAGCACACACTTCTTAGGAAAACAGGCAGTTCCACAGGTCATGAAAGTTAATGCACAGCCCAACATCCCAAATGAAAAAGTTCTGTTTTTTTTTTGGTAGCGTAAGATTCTATTTAAAGATCAACACCTAAGACAATAGAATAAATACAGAATTATCATTTTCAGTTCAAACTATACTCCAACACAAAGAAGCATTGCTATATACAGTACAAGAAAACAAATCACCTCAATGGCTACACACAAGGGCACCAGCAGAGGGTGTTATACCACATAATACTTATCACTGTTCATTCCGCACAACAAAACTAAGAAACATCAGCTCTAAGATTTATAGATCGACACTATATAGCCATCAATAAAAAAAATCCCTTATGATCTTAGCATTAAGAACACTGCCTTATAATTTAAGATTGCGTAGAATTTTCAGAGATTCTTGAATTTTAATTTGAAAGTCCGTTAATAAGAACTGATCTGCAGAAGAGATTTCCATAATACAACTGCACAATCTTAACCTTTAAGATCATGATCTATAATAAAATAATAATCCTTGCATTTGATATCGCGCTTTTCACGTCTTCTAGACGTCTCAAAGCGCTTCACAGAATATGCTGTGAAGTGAATTGACCGTATATTTGTGAGCGAAACGCGGCAGCCAATTGCGCACAGCAGTATCCCACAAACAGTCCTGGAATGAAAATGACCAATTTATTATTGTTTTGTTTTGGAGGGATTATTATTAAGAGTGTCGAGTAAGGAAACTTGCCCAAGGTTTTGCCCTGCTTGGAATTGAACCCAGGTGTCTCGCTTGCAAGGCAAGTGCTCTAACCACTGAGCTACAGGACTCTTAAGGGCTAAAACCACTAGAATGTCAGGCCTCAGTACTTTGCTGTATCTATAACCCAACCTTTTAACATCCAGCTTTTGGTTGGTTGGAAAAGGCCATTAAAACCAGCATTTAACCAATTAAGATCCTTTAAAAGAAATTGTGAAAGGAAATGAAGTTAAGAGAATTAACTGAAAGCAGAGATTAAAACAATAATAATAATCCTTGCATTTGATATCGGATTTCATCACGTCTTCGAGACGTCTCAAAGCGTTTCATTAGAGGATATTCAATGAAAAGTGCAAAACTGGAAATTGAACTCCTGAGGAATTAGGGAGAACAGAGTTAGAGACTGAACAAAAGAGCAAAATTAGACAACGATTTGTGACAAAGAATTCTGCAGTCATCCACCCTCTTTGTAAGGATGTTTTTCCTAACCTCCCCTTTAATCTCTTTTGGTATTTAATTAAGAACAAAATTCCACTTTCATGGGAGAAAGCACATTTCAGAGATCAAATATTATTAGGCCTCTCTCATAACAATGCTTGGACATCATGTAAAACCTGTGGTACTAAGAGGCAAGTTGTAATCAATATTTATTTAGTTTGTTTTTGAAAAAACTTATCATTGGTAATGATATTGAGACGTGGTTGAATGCTGCTGCCTACATTAAGAGATTTAAATCTATTGTTTAGCATTCTGCTAGACGCACTCTTGTCCCTTGGTATTGCCTGCAAGGGCTAGTATACAGAACTAATGTGATTCAACTATAAAATCCAACTATAGTAATTCAAGAAATACATGCAGGAAGATCTAAGGGGCAGAAATGTAATTTATAAGTGATTTAAAAATGTCTGGTTAGTGAGAACAACAGCAGATTAAATCTTCTCACGTGGATAAGCAGGGACAAAATAGTACACAAATGTAGCCCAACAAATGCCATTATTTGGACAGAATGCACACTTAATGTATTCTTCTTCATGCTTGGTATTTGGAACTTTTAAATGCCAGATTCATTTTTCATGAATGTAGGAATAAGACTTAGCAATTGAGACCATTGCGCCCTTTCCACTATTTTATCCCATCATGGCAGAACATTTTAATCCCAGTTCTGTCTTTTCTGCATATTTTGGTAGTCCAAGTACCTTTCTACCCATCTTTTAAACATCTTGATTGATTCTGCATCTACCACCATCTGGGCCAGTGCCTTATATATTCTCCCAGCCCCCTGCGTGAAGAAATGTCTTCGAATTTTTGTTGCTTAGTTCTAATTCTATGTTCCCTTGATTATGATTATGTACCCTTGTTTGACTCCTTTTTATCAGAGGAAATGGTTGTTTAATATATCTTGTTTGTCAAGGGGTACACTACCATGTCTGCATCCCCAAATATTGTTTATAATTCAATATATGAATTTGATTTCTCTCTATGGCTTTAGCCTAAGGTGGAATTGGAATTCAAACCTTTAAGAATAGTATTTATCATTTGTGAGTTAAGTTATTCTCCAAAAAGTATAGACAGATTTGGCACATCAACTGAAGTTAAGAGACATCTGTCCCTTTAGTTTTACAGCTGTCAGTGGGAGCAATCTCTTTTCATACCCGATTCAAGCGCCCTCATGTGGTGTCTTCAGTTCTTTTTCAAACCCACATACAAAGCAGCAGAAATTTACTTCTTGCTCAATTATGTTCTCCAGTTTAGATTTTTCCTTTCGATTTTATTTCCTCCTCATAATTATGTTCACTCATACTGGAGCACGATTCCTTGAGCACATGGAGTGCTATTTTTCTACGATTTGAGCCTGGTTGGAAAGTGATGGTAAGCTATGTAACCAATGGAGGGGAATGGGGCAAGAGATCAAAACTATGCCAAAAACCCTCTTCATCTGTTCACACAGTTGAAATTTTAAGTAGTATCATTATACAACCATGCTAAATTGATGTTTTATTTGTACTTTCCCTAGCCCAGGGATACTGGGGCCAATTCTCCTATTGCTGCACCAGCCAAGATCAGTTAATTCAGCATAGAACAAGGATTTACCCATCTATGTGGCTCAGTATTTATTTCTTTTCAATCAGTACAAAACAAACCTGATATTCTTTTCCTTCAAAGAAAGCCAGGTGTTGTTTTTGCTGGAGCTGTGTTAATAGGTAACTTAATTTGATTACTTCACGATCAGGCGTGCTGTACCAGTATATTGTATACTTCAAATATGGTGCCAGCACAATAATCTCAGGCAGGCACCAGCACTAATGACTGTATGAGAACCGCCTTCTGGACACGAATAGCTGAAACATTTTGTACCAGGACTTGTGCAGTGATCAAATAGGATGGTGAACATATATTGAGATTGTAAGAGATGTATGACGGGGATGCATTTGGTGTCGTAACATCTCTATTATTTAACATTCAGTGCAAATTAATCACGAGGGATGCTATCTCGAGCAATAACCTGGGAACAGACTCAGGATTTATCACTGGAAAGTTTTCAAAATAAAGTCAACAATTATACTTAAAGTACCCAGCAACAGTTTCTGTCAAATGTAGTGTGAGAGTTAATAATAATAATCCTTGCATGTCAATATATTTTTGTATAGCTCCTTATCACGTCGGAAGGATATAACGTAATGTACTGGCTAGAGCACTAGCCTCACAAGCGAGAGGACCTGGGTTCAATTCCTGGGCAGGGTGAAACATTAGGCAGGTTTTCCTTACTCCACACACTTCTATTTACCTAGCAGTAAGTAGGTACTTACTGCTGTGTGCCACAAAATATAGTCAATTCACTTTATAGTATATTCTGTGAAGGGCTTTGAGATGTCTCAAAGATGTGACAAGGCGGGGATTACTACATTAGAATTTGATTTATCAGGGTTCAACAGCAATCTGAACACATAAATTAAGCAAATTGTATATTTCAGATGGTTTCCCCCAAATTATAGGGTTAAACTACTACTGAATTATCTTACTGGAGGCATCAAGTTTACCAGTAATTCAATGCAGATCTTGAGATTCTGTGATCCAGTAAAACCTGTCATAACTTGTAAAAGGATCCAAGTTGAGGATGTGTATGTTTAAGGTGGGGAAAGCAGTAATAATTGTGGTTCTTTGGTCATTCGCATGTGTATTCTACTGTGAAAAGTAAAGGGTTTAATCAAGAAAACAATTACCTCATTCAACCACTTAAAATAAGTCAGTGAAAATGAATGTTTTATCTTTGGGAGATTTTCCATTAACAAAATTAAACCATGTTTAGTTCAATGAGTTTTCATTCATGATGAGTTTTAGGAGAGTTTTGTTCTTTCTAATTTTTTTCCACATTTCTATGGTAATTGTAATATCAAAGCCAAATTATAATTATCTTTTAATTCTATGGAAACCTTGGCAGAAACCACTAATGCCTGATACTGTACAACCAACTGCACAACCCTGATCCTTTCCTTTGACCCCGCCTTCCAATAAACTCATGGAAATTGTGCTAGGCAGGGAATAGATTAACATGAACACCACTGAGTACACTAGAGAAATCCAGTCCAGCTGGAAGATTTAGGCCACTTGAGTTAAATAGTCAAAATCTTTGTATCAGATACCCCAAGACTTTTGTACTATTATCTTGGTATAGATACTTTTAATGGATAAAAGATGTTCTGGAAGCAACACCATTGTTGAATACTCAAGGACTTGCCCTCCCCTTTGGAGAAGTGGACCGAACATCCCTACATATCAGCATAGATGCACTACCTGACTAAGAAATATGTTATGTTGATGCCTTTAGCAATAATGAATTAAATAATCATTGCAAATTATATTTTTTCTCAATAAGCCGCAATTCGGAGTCGGAGACCAAGCGTGAGTGAGGCAGGGGTTGGGTGGAGAGGGTGAAAGGAAAAGGAAAGAAAAAAGCAAGTCTCTGTCACATTTGCAAAATGGATTCTCCTGCAGAGACTCGTAGCAGAACTGTGAAATAAAATGTAAAGGGAAGAAAAAGTAAGGTAGGAGATTAATTCAATTTATTAAAAGTGCTTCTTACAGAATTTTCTCTCCCACATTTCCTTTCACTACATTCTTAATATAAAACTATTTCTGGTACACACAACTGTACAGTAGTCTTCCCTAAATACCAAATGAACACTTAACAATATGGAGTCAATTTTTCTAATATCAGAAACCCCTTCAATATTTACTGCCACTTCTTCAGCTGATCTCAAATGAAGAGGTTGAAAAGTAATTGCTCTGTTATGAATTAGCAACTCCCAAACAAACCTTCACTCACCAAGGCCAATTTGGCACACATCCCTGTATTGAAATTACTGGTTTTGGAATATTAATCTACTAAACAATATGCTAACAAATATGTAGGTTCTTTTTGATGGCTGCCAACCAAGGACTCCTAAGTGACTTAGAATTACTCTTGAAGGATTTTTTAAAAAAAATACAGATGCACATATTTATAAAAGCAAAATATACAGTAGATAAATACTTTGCTTTAATACTGTATATACTTCAGAAAATTAGAAACAAAGAAAACAAAAAAAACTGGATTCCCTCAATGGTTAAAGATAATTGATAAAACGCAATGCAGACATTCAGAAAATCACAGGTGCAACGCTGCATTAGACAATTCCAACCCAAATACAAGTTGCTTATCTCTAGGTGGAGAGGAGAATGGTGTAAAAATTACCTCCACCCACCTCGAAAAAAAAAGAGCAGTTCTTGGGAGTGAAATGTTGCTTCATGCATCTTCTAGTTTCTATATTAAATATTGCCAAGTTACTTGTAGCATTAATTTGTCTTAACTATCTCAACATGATATCCAGATTTGTGCCTTTCATCAATGTTACAAAAATGTACATTTGAAATAGATTATGTAACACATTGTGTTCTGTGAAGGGGACAACTGGATGCATAGAATAGCAAAACATTTAGGATTCAAAACTATAATTTCAGTGTCAAATCAATGCCTTAAGCAGAAGTTAGAGTGCAAATTTCTTAAATCAATTTAAACACTCAAATGGAATAAACTGAAAAATACAAATTTGATTAAATGTTGCACAGGTCAAAAAATTCCAAGTCATCACTGGTGCAACAATTAATCAAATTTGTGTTTGTTTCTGTTGATTCCATTAGAGTATTTCTTTAAATTGTAGTGTAATTTTCTTAAAACAATTGAGCTAACGCTGAAAATGTTGTCAGGAAAGGATTGTATGATAATAATCCTTACATTTGGCATACTGCCTTATGTCAAAATATCTCAAGGTGCTCCACAGAATTTCTTTTTCCGCAAAGTGTAATGATTGTTTGCAGGCGATGTGGCAATCAATTTGAGGAAAGCGAGATCCTACAGACAGTCATGAAGTGAATAACCATTTTTTAAAAAAACTTGGGGATTGTTATCCAAGACATAAGGAGAAACTCCCTTCTCTTTGCAAATAGTGCCTTGAAGCACTTTGACGTCTTGATGACAGAAAGCGCTATATCAAATGCAAGGATTATTTTTACATTATCTTTAACATCCACCTAAAACAGGCAAATGTGACCTTGGATTAATGTCTCAACTGAAGGGCAAAGTTGCTCCAACATTACATTGGAATGTCAGCCACTGTGAGCTCAAAGTCCCGCTATGGGACTCAAACCCACAACTTTCCAAATCATTGGTGATAGCGCTGAGCTAAACTGTTCTGACACAAAATGCTCCGTATACACAACACATAGAGAAAACAGTGCACTTAGCCATGGATGCAAGGAAAGTTGATAGTATTTGTGCTAATGCATCAGGTTTTTCTCTACACAGTATATAACATTGCACATTATTCACACTAGCTATCCTTTATTATCATTTCACTTATGCTGAGGTTTTAGGAGCAACTTTGTAACTGGTACAGGACTAAAACTGATGGTTTAGATTAGGCTCAAGTGAATATTACAGGTCTACATAATAGCAATTCCCACAATTCAAAGTATCTCAATGTGTGACGGCTTTAAAAGTACATGAATGTGCAGCACCAGAAAATACCATAGGGCACCTGGATAGATTTAGTTTTCAGCATCTTCCCAGTCTTTGAGACATTTCAATGAGATAGGGCACTGAATATAATACAAGTTTTTTTAAATTAAAAATTTTAAAAATGAGATTTAAAGATGTAAAAACTAAAGACCTACAACTCCCCAGACTCATATTTCAACATTTTCAGTTTGAATTCAGTTGTTATTCCCGTGGATATTTATTTTCCCTATCACAACCATTGTACCAACTCACTTATCCTTTATGATCTATGGGACAAAGCGGATTTTCAATTCCACTGTTCACAATCCACAAGGAGTTCAACAAAGCCAGCTTCAAGTATTAAAATATCCCCACTTTATCATCTACAGTTTACACAACAGAGCATAATTGCTCAACGTTTTGTGTTGCCAGAAGAAACCTTTCAAATATAAAAATGTGCAGTTGTTTGATGCATAATGCTTGCCTCAAGCTTTCTCCTTTTATCTACACTTCTAATGGAAAAATCATTTAATACTCTAGAATTTTAAAAAAATACTGCAGAACCTCGAACACACTCAATTTCTTCTACAATAACTATATCACTTGGTAATTTCTGAGTTATAAAATTCATGCCAGTTAGCAGAGGAAACAGTGGCAAACCCACTCATAAATATTCAGTGTTGTTTGGTGCTTAAAAGGAATTTACATCACATTCACAAGCAAGTTTCACAAACGACATTCTTCTAAATACAATCCCCTTTGGGCTTTTCTTCAGATATTCAAGTGCAATCACATACGAGGAAGAAATAACTTGACAAATAAGCTCAATGTGACTCATTTGGCAGAAAAAAACACCTTACGTTTCCAAGCACCGTTTTTAGTACAAACACCAATTCTTGAAACATTTTCACTGCTGGAAGTAGCTAAAATATTTCTAGTTATCCAATGAGATACCATACCACTGAAGTTTATCACTCAAATTTACTTATGTTGTACTTTATGGAAAAGCCATTGATGTACAATTATGCATGGTTAGTTTTTATAGATTGTGGTATATTTTTGGGTGCATTAAGAAGACATTAGTGACGGAGAACTGAAGCTTTTCTAGCTTTTTGGACCCAGTGTTAGCATTCAGGACTCCCAGAGGACTATTTGCCTGTTTAGATGGATGTTAAAGATAATATAATTATTGCATTTGATATATCTCCTATCATGTCATTGAAATGTTTTAAAGTGCTTCAAACAAAGTAAACTCCCTCTTCTGTACCCCAACATTTGCCGTAACTCCAATTTTCAGAAGACAAGCTCCAATACCTACTTAAATAATAATAATCCTTGCATTTGATACAGCGCCTTATCACTTCTTTCAAAGCGCTTCACAGAATATACTGTAAACTGAATTGACTATATTTTGTGGATGAAACGTGGCAGCTAATTGGGCACAGCAATGTACCACAAGCAGTCATGGATTAAGTGACCAAATTATTTTTTTTAATTATTTTTTTGAAGGGATTATTACATCCGGAAAAACGATCCACCAATCGACTAACAACCAGGTTCCTACTTACTGCTAGATAAACAGAGGTGTGTGGAGTAAGGAAACTTGTCCAACGTTTCGCCCTGCCAGGAATTGAACTCAGGTCTTTCGCTTGCGAGGCAAGTGCTCTAACCAATATGCTACAGGACTCCACCTGCATTATTCATAGTAGCCATTCTCATGGTGTCTGAATGTGATCGTCAATTTAGTGCCTCACTGTGACAAATTACATTCCTTTTGTCCTGGGTGCTGCCCCCACTAGGCTCCCCACAATGAGAAAAGGAGATTTCTATCAGTGTGGTCTAGGTTCAAACACAGTGGTGAAAGTATTCCATTGAACCCAATAATTTTTTTGCCACCTCTAAAAAGTGTTGCCATCATTAATGCTAAAACAAACTCTCCAAAATAATTGCAGAGGATCTTTTCGTATCAGTCAGGCAGAGATGAAGAATAAGCAGCCGATCCAGTGGGAGATGTAAGGTGCAAAAAAGCTCAAACTAAGGAAAGAGAGTTAAGCAAAGAAGGCAAGCCTTAATCTTATCCTAACCATCTTTAAGCTTTCAAATACAGAAACATTTTTCAGCTTTGTATACAAGAGGAAAATTTCAGTCTGATTATGATCTGGGAGCACTGTAGCATGAAACCACTTAGTCTGATCTAAAGCCATTTGCATTTTTTGTTTATGGAAGTTTGGGAGGGGTGAAACAAGAATTTAAAAAACTCACTAAGTTGCTACTGTTGCCACAAAGCCACGCACATCAAAATAAAACTTTCTCATTGGGCATTCCGTTGTTTAAAGTATAAGATTATGCAGACTACAACAACTCGCCTTCAATATACAATGGCTCTACAACGTCGTGATTGATTAGTTCAAAGTTTTCATGTCCAATCCAATGCTCCACGTTCCTCTTTCGGCCTGTGAAAAAGTTGTCCACAACAGTAACTTCATGGCCATCCATCATCAGTTTGTCAGCCAGATGAGAACCAACAAATCCTGCTCCTCCAGTGATCTGGAACGGAACACCAAGAATACATTAGCTTCAAAAGAAATTGGCCTCACACCCTAAAATAATTTGAATTGCAAAAACACTTGACTAGATCGTGGAAAGCCAGTTAGTCAAAACTTCTGCTTTTTTACCCCAAGACAGTTAATTGGAAAATAAATCAAGCAGATCTTAATAATAATTCTTGCATTTGATATAGCGCCTTATCAAATCTTCGAGACATCTCAAAGCACTTCAAATATAATAATAATAATAATCCTTGCATTTGATATAGCGCTTTTCACGTCGGGAGGACGTCCCAAAGCGCTTCACAGAACACACTGTAAAGTGAATTGACTGTATATTTGTGGGCGAACGCGGCAGCCAATTGCGCACAGCAATGTCCCACAAACAGTCGTAGATTAAAAATGACCAATTTATTATAGTTTTGGGTTTTTGGAGGGATTATTAGTAAAGTGAATTGACTGTATATTTTGTGGGCAAAATGTGGCAGTGTCCTACAAACAGTCGTGGATTGAGGGACCAAATTATTTTTTTGAAGGGATTATTACACCTGGGAAAAGCGATCCGCCAATCGACTAATAATGGGTTCCTATTTACTGCTAGGTAAACAGTGGCGTGTGGATTAAGAAAACTTGCCTAACGTTTCCCCCTCCCAGGGAATCAAACCCAGGTCCTCTCACTTGCGAGGCAAATTTAGTCTACATTTGAATATTAAAAGAATCCTAATATCCCATTCTCATAAGGTGTCTGGCATCTCTTGAACAGATGTATCAATAAGAAAGAAAGGTAATGTGGGGTGAGCTCTTTTCTGATTTTACCACAAAGGAATACCTACCATATACTTAGGAGCTATCTCAAAATTGATTTGACTCTCATACAAATACACAGTCACTACATTTTACCATAATTACTGTGAAATGATTTGAGACCGTCTCTATCAGATGATATAAGGCTCTATCAAATGCAAAGATTATTATTTAGATTACAGTTGTTTTTTTTTGGGGGGGTGGGAGAAGAAAGTGAAGGAATAAAAGGAACCAATGCGCTTAGGAAATGCTTTAGGTGAGGAGAATTTTTTTTTCACATAGCTGGTAAAAGATTTTTATATCCAATATGATGAGCAGTGTAATATCCTCCTTCTTGAGATTACCTGGTGCATGCAACCATAATCAAATACTTCTATGACTGCCGTACCACAAGTTGCTCATCTATAGGATAGCCCTAGCTCGGAGGTGTGTTTCAAGCATAAGACATTTGACACATACACTAACTTTAACACAGTGTTGTCCAATAGAACTCGCTAACTAGCCACAGGTGTGGTAGCGATGACATGGTTTTAGCTAGCTGATTATTTTAGTAAAAAAAACACTTTACATACACTCACACAATACAGGTAAATGTTTTAATAATAATACTTGCATTTGATTCAAGATGTCTCAAAGCGCTTCACAGAATATACTGTAAAGTGAAACAAAAACAGAAGTCGCTGGGAACACTCAGGTCAGATAGCATCTAAGGATGAGCTGTTATGATCTGAAATGGTTCAATTTCAAACCATAACAACTCATCTTCCCCCTCCCCCTCTTCTGTGAACATTACCACATCATCTGGGTCCCAGACACACCTCTCTCTGATTTACCTATTTTGTTGCAAATGTCCCCCTTTTGTTTTGCATTATTAACACCTCTATTCCCCTGCTTTGTTGCAAACCCCCCACCCTTTGTTTTGCATCATTAACACCTCTTTAACCCATCATCCCCTGTATTCTACCCCATTTTCTCCTTTGCTTCCTTGCCCTGCCTCCTCCCTCTCTATTAGCCCATAAAAGCCTCTCCCTCTTAACATGCCCCAGTTCTGACGAAGGATCGTGGAACCCAAATGTTGACTCACTTTCCTTTCTCCATAGATGCTGCCTGATCTGCTGAGTGAGTGTTCCCAGCGACTTCTCTTTTTGTTTCAGATTTCCAGCATCTGCAGTATTTTGCGTTTTGTTTTATCCTGTAAAGTGGATTGATTAACTGTATACTTGTGGGTGAAACGCAGGAGCCAATTACGCACAGCAGTGTCCCAAAAACAGTCGTGGATTGAAGTCACCAATTTTATTTTATTTTTCTTGAGGGATTATTATCAGGCGTGTGGAATAAGAAAACTTGCCCAAGGTTTCGTTCTACTGGGAATCAAACCTAGGTCTCTCACCGGCAAGGCGAGTGCTCTAACAGAGCTATAGGACTCTGTTTACATATATATTTACTTAACAAACATCTATCACCATTCAGTGGAAAATTTTGCAATCTTTCTCTTTCAAAGTTTGGAATTCTGACACGAATTTATCAGACAGCGCATCTTAGTGCAGCTCTATTTATTTTATAAGACATGCCAATCCTGTCCCTGCTCTCCGTCCAGAACACGGTTGGATGCTGCTTACCCTTTGCCAAGAAGTGCCCTAATGGAGCTGCTCGTTACTAGCTGGGCTTGTGTTCTTCTACTGATCTGGAGCAGTTATTCTGACTGGTCGAGCTGACTATGATCCACAACACACAGAACGACCAAAGTACATTTGCACACGCTGCTTTGCATCTGCACACAAAAATGTCAAATACACATGCACACTCTGTGCAAATAGGAGTATTGAGATCATATGCTCAACAATGGTGCCTATTGCTCATTTTTATTTACGAATCAGAAACGCAATTTCACCGCACTTGGACTTCCAATTTGCGATATGTGGTTAGTGGCTAACGCATTGAACAACATTGCTCTAACAATACGAGCAGAAAGTTGCCCTGATAGTCAACCGAATTTGGAACTAATGACCATCCAATGACCCAAATACTGAAATGAGTGACACAGGGAGAAACACAGCAATAAGGGAGGTCATATGCAGAATTATGCAGGAAACGTTGAAAACAAGCTCATCATTATTTACTATTTGTACCTCCATTAATTACAAGATTTGAAATGCTGGCTCCCTATTGCCAAGCATGGGGTCTATGCAGCAGGAGGCTATGCTTGAACAGATTTAATTGAAAGAATATTTGGGGAAATAAATGGACAATTATGTTCGCTCATTAAGTCAGGCACACAAGACATTGAAGCAGATAAAACTTGTCGACACTTGCCTACAGAGTATGTGTTATAATAATAATAATAATCCTTGCATTTGATATAGCGCTTTTTCACGCCTTCTAGGCGTCTCAAAGAGCTCCACAGAATATGCTGTAAAGTGAATTGACCGTATACTTGTGGGCGAAACATGGCAGCCAATTGTACACAGCAGTGTCCCATAAACAGTTGTGCGTTAAAAATGACCAATTTATTATTGTTTTGGAGGGATTATTATTAGGCGTGTGGAGTAAGGAAAGGTTTCACCCTGCCTGGAATTGAACCCAGGTGTCTCACTTGCAAAACGAGTGCTCTAACCACTGAGCTACAGGACTCCAGATGTAAAATGAACAATCCTTGTGTTCAAAAAAGGATAACACTACCCAAATCTTTCTACAAGATTTTGAGTGAAACTGACAAATGCTATTCAATAAGACATCAAAAGATTGCTACAAGATCGCCTTCAACTGACAAGTATAATTGAGTCATAAAACTATACAGCCTTCTGTCCCACCAAACAAATATCAGGAAATTTTAGCTTTTGTTGTAAGATATTTTTCTTTTTCCTCTATTATCTGCTAGAACAATAGGAGTCACCTTTTGTTAGGCTTCCTTCAAATATGTGAAACTTGTCACTGTTCACCATGGGCATATTTGTGCAAAAGCTCATGGCACATGGGATGCAAAAGAGGACCAGCCATACGTAAACCTAAGAACGAACTGTGAACCTTTTTTTTTGTACATAACAATGACAACAACTTGCACTTATATAGCGCCATTCACGCTGGGTAGCATTTTGAAGGGTTTAAAATGAACAATTCTTGTGGGGTTCCTAGATTAAATATTAATTTCTGGGGACTTTTTTGCTAAGGCTTAAACCAATAATTTTAAATTTTTAAAGAGATCCTTTATCACTTAGAAATTGAATTTTTTAAGTCATTAATGCATTAGAATGGCACTTAGCTACCACCTGTGACTGTAGATGTGCCTGCTGACCGAGAATGGATTGTTTGCTTTCCCATTTCTGTGATTTTAAAATTGAACAGTATTTCTTTACTAAACAAATCAAAGCACTTGAGTATTTAAGAGTAAATAGACCAATCTCAAAGCATTTTATATGAATTAGTTAAGTGTAGTAACTGTTTTTGTAGATAACCATAGCAGCTATTTTGAACACAGCAAGTTTCAACAAACAGCTATGAGATAAATTAACAATTTAGAGAGAATTTTGTCCTGGCCAACAATCATTTAGATAACTTGACAAATTAACAATTTATCTGGATGATTGTTGGCCAGGGCAAAATTCTCTTCTTTCAGATAGTTCCACGACATCTTTAATATCCACCTGAAGAATAGGCAGACATGTCCTGTTTAATTTCTTATCTGACAGCAACTATGACACTGCTAGTATTAAACTGCAGCCTAGACTGAGACCCACAAAGTAATGAACCAGAGGTGAGAGTGCCAACAAATGGAGCCAAGTAGAAACCTGTAGATAACAGTGTAGTTTCTTGATTCAGCCTCTTTTGCTTCCATAAGACGTAGGAGTAGACCATTCGGCCCTTCGAGCCTGCCCCGCCATGTATTAAGATCATAGCTGATCTTCTAACCTATAATATAATAATAATCCTTGCATTTGATACAGCACTTTTCACGTCTTCTGGACGTCTCAAAGAGCTTCACAGAATATGCTGTAAAGTGAATTGATCATATATTTGTGGGCGAAACGTGGCAGCCAATTGCACAAAGCAGTGTCCCACAAACATCATGGATTGAAAATGATCAATTTATTATTGTTTTGTTTTGGAGGGATATAACTACTTGTTAACTGGCAGCCTGTGCGAGTACCTTTCCTCTTAAGTCTACAGATTGAACCACAAAAGGACTGCGGCTATAAGTACTTCCCACAATTTACACATACCTACAGAATCTACTTCTTGCTTACTGAAGTACTACTGTAGCAAATTGAAACAAGTCAGTTGGGTTTTTAGAAGATGTGACTTGCTATTCCCCAGATACAAGTTTAATTTAATTCATTTAGAATATTCAATTGGAAGTCTCAAATTTAGAAACTGAGGATGTCAAAGGTACGTATACAGATTAGCTTCTTTTTAAAATTTCAGGAGTTTCCAACAATTTGCATTATGACTTCAGTTAACTCTGATTTAGGTCAAATTAATTTGTTTTTACCTTCAACACAGCAGATAGGGGAATTACTATTGGTGATCACTTACATATTGAATACTGAAGAGTGCAAATTGTATCTTGTTGATATTTATCTTCAACAATACAGATAAAGACAGTACCTAGTTTCTCAGACCAGCGATTTTTCCCTTCAGATTGAAACTGTTAAGCTTTTACAAAGGAACGTAGCCTGTGCAAATGGACACTTCATCACTTCCTTTTTTGTCTTTCCCGTTTTATAAACAAAATAAAAACATTAACTGTGCTCATCAACTGGTGTAGCATAATGCATAAATTCTTTCATATGACAAACTATAATTCCCCTCTTTGAACATGAAAAACTATACAAATAATTACATGGTTTGCAATTATATACACAATCCCACTTCATTATTAGCACCATCTGTACAATGCTTTTTAAAAAAGCTGAAATGAGAAACTTACAACAGTCTAAAGTTCAGGACCTTCTGCTGCAACCTGCTGAAACTCAAATGAAACGTTCTTAGTTACCGCCTCAATTGAACTGAGCCATATAAGGTTTTTGACTAAACTGAATCGTTCTTAAATTATGCATTAACTCTCAGTGAAGTCTTCAAGTGAATAGTCATTATTTCCTTACTTTCGTCAGGATATTGAGTATGGGGCCCCACCCAATGACTGGGTGGTTTAGGTAGGACACTAGGGGAAGGTGTCTCGCTGAACTTTGTCCAGCATAATTTTGATCTCCTAATTCCATTTACCCATCCTATCCCCATATCCCTTAATCCCTCTTCCCTTTCCCCCCCACCATACCATCCCCAAAATAAGTCTACAATTCATATACATGTATTTATTCATATATTTATTATTATTTTATTATTTATTACTGCAGACGAGAAACCTTACCAAACAAACTTAATGCTGGCTTCAGTATTTTATACTGTCCCCATTTTCTCTGTATCAATTACAATCCTAATGAATTTGAAAAACAGATGGCAGATTTAAAAAACAAAATCTGAAATTTGCATCTGAAGAAAGGAAAATTCAATTTGTATCATTTCTTTATACAATAATCATCAGCTATAAATATTACATTGTTTCTCATCAACACGTTAAGATTGATACCTCCACCTCTTCCACAAGTTAACAACCAATTCTAATATCAAATAACCACCAACTTTACCACTCTGCTCCACTCTCAATTCCAGATTCATTGCAGTTCTGCCAGACCTCTTGTCCGACATCAAGCTCTTGACAAGCCTCAACTGAATATGAACAAAACTGAAATGCTGCTCAATTCTCCATGTATTTCTGTTAGATTTCTCCAACGCCTTCCTCGCTGCGCTCCCAGCAATCCCCTACAATCCACTAATTCAGTATCCTCTCTTGGACTCAGCTCTGTGTACCCATTATCTCAGTATATACATCATCTCAATATATATCACCCAGCATATCAACAACAAGACCCTTCTGCTGACCATTTTCCTCCAACCTATTGCCCCACTTTATGTCTGTAATCTCTTCTTGCTACACTCCCCCCATTCCCTTCATTCAACAAACTCAGGCATCCTACATTCCCCTCCCCTCCTTCCTCCTTTCTGTGGAACTCCCTCTCAAAGCTCTTTCACTTCAAATTCTCTCTTCTCGCCTTCAAAATTTCTAGTCAGTTCTTTGATTATGCCTTCGGTCATCTTCATCTTACTCCCCTCCTTGCTTTGTGCCCCTACTATCCATGAAAAGAGTTTTAAGATGTTCCAAATAAATCTGTTTTCTGATAAGATTTATACCTACACCTCTGCTTTAAACTAAGGGAATGGAAAAACAACCTACAGTTTGCTAAAATTCAGGGCCTATAATAAATTATGTTAGAAGAGAAATATGAAATTATTTACACAATAAAAATTGGAAAATGCTTACCAAAATTCTTTTACGATCCTTTTCTGATAGGAACTTCACTGGAGGGTATTTTTGTGATATGCTATTGGAAAATAGAAATGTTAAAATATATCAATTAAATTATCAGAAGTGCAAACAATGGAATTACTTCTCGTCACTTGTACATCGAGTACCTTTCATTTCAAAATATTTGAAATTAATTCTCAAATAATGTTTTTTTCAGTGAAAAGGTTTAATGATGAAAACTGGTCAATAATTTGAAAAACAGCACGTAGGACTGCCATTTGCCTATGAAACTACAAGCACTTTGAGATGTCCTTACGGCATAAAAGATGGTTTATCAAATGCAAGTATTATTAAACAAGCTGTAGACCCTCCAGAATTCTACAGCCCTTGTTCTCTTTTGGATCAGACTCCACTAGCCCATCACTCCCATCCTCACTCAGTTGCATTGACTCCTCATCCCCCAGTGGACAGAATTTAAGATTCACATCCTCAGTTTCAAATGCCTCAAAGCTAACAGCCAAGGCAGGTGTTCTGTGCTCATCAGTTCATCATTTCAATCTAGCAGACAGATTGTAGGATCCACTGTTGCGTTTTAAAACTCTTATTTTTTATTATACACAGTGTAATTAAAAATATAAAATGTATAATTATACATAATCACATAATATACAATACATATTAATAGTTTTAAAAATGATTTGAGATCACACCCAAATAACCCTTTATTAAAGAATGGCAATTCAATCGACCTTTCTGCAGGTTCAATGAAAAGCCTGAAATCTTTAGCTATGCAAAGCAAAATTCTGACTGCAGATACCAACATCTTGAGAACATCTTTGGCTGAATTCATCTGAGCCACACATTATCTACTCAATTTATTGCCTGTTCTTTGGTGTCGAAGTTCCATTGTCATGAAGTTTTTTTTAAAAATCATAAAAATCAAGAGAAGCAATACATACCTGGTTTCTATTTCTCTAATTTTTTCTTTCAAGGGTGCTATTGCCTAGAAAAATCAAACGAAAATAATTTGTAAACGATATAATTTGACAATCTTTGTGCAAATACTTCTATCAATCTCAGAATAGAAATTACGGAAGACATTTTCTATCCTTTTGGTTATAACAAACTATCAGAACAAAATTTACAGAATTTTGTATTGATACAGTATTAAAGAGTTTCACAAGATTATCCAGAAACAAGATTAAAAGAAACTTAAAGAGGAGCAATTTTGTGTAAGTATTCTCACAGCTGTGTAGATTATCTTTAAAAGAACAAGACTGAATATCCCTGACTGAATATAAAACAGGCTACCAAATCTTAGACCTCTGCAATCTAAAGTCAAACATTCACAGCCTGAGTCAACATTCCTTGGATTATTTGTTTCTCTGTATGGGAAGCACCTCGTCTCTCTGCTTTCATGCCGCAGGATGAGAAACTCAGTGCAACAACAGCTAGGGAAGAGGACAAAAGAAGGAATGCACAGTACTAGTATAGCATATAATTTTAATTACTACTGCAACAGTTTTAAAACTTGCTGATAGAGCAACAAGTTCAATTCAAAAAGGTTTGGCACATCCTGCAACACAATGTTACAAACAACCTATATAACCCGTGACAAATATTTCTATACTTCAATGTAAAAACAATTAAAGTAAGTAACTGACCTCTTCTATTTTTCCCTCAATTCCCTGTTCCTTTTCTTCTTGTAATGACCTGTGCAAAATATAAAAATCATATTTAAAAAATTGTAACATTAAATGATGATCATTAAAAAGATAGTTTTCATACGTTTTAAATTGGGCATTTACCCACATATGCTGAGCGGAATATCAATCCTCCTTTCATACTCAAACTTCATCATGATTTAAAAACAGTAAAGTCAGGATTTTTTAAAAGAACAGTTAATGCTGAAAATCTGAAATAGAAAACGGTAGAAATGTGCAGCAGTTTAACCAGCAAATAAATACTTTGCTTTTGTCTTCACGTTAGAAGACACAAGAAGTTTACCAGAAATAGAGATGAACCAAGGGGCTAATGATAGGGAGCAACTTAGGGAAATTTACATTAGCAAAGAATTGGTTCTAGGGAAATTGTTGGCATTAAAAAGTGACAAGTCCCCTGGACCTGATGGTTTGCATCCTAGGGTTTTAAAAGAGGTAGCTCATGAGATAGTGGAGGTCTTGTGTCTGATCTTCTAAAATTCTTTGGATTCTGGAGGGGTTCCCATTGATTGGAAGATCGCAAACGTCACACCACTATTTAAGAAGGGTGGGAGAGAAAAGATGGGGAACTATAGACCAGTTAGTCTGACATCGGTGGTAGGGAAAATTCTGGAATCATTAATTAAGGATGTCGTAGTGGGATACTTAGAGGATCACAATATGATTAGACAGAATCAACATGGTTTTACAAAAGGGAAGTCATGCTTAACAAATCTTTTAGATTTTTTTGAGGACATATCAAGTAGATTAGATAGGGTGGAATCAGTGAATGTAGTGTATTTAGATTTCCAAAAGGCATTCGATAAGGTGCGGCATAAAAGGTTGATCCACAAGATTAGGGCCCATGGAATTAAGGGGAATATATTAGCATGGATTGAAGAATGGTTAACGGAAAGAAAACAAAGAGTAGGGATCCTTCTCAGATTGGCGGGATGTGACTAGTGGAGTGCCACAAAGATCAGTGCCTCAACTATTTACAATCTACATCAACAATTTATGGAACTCACTACCGCAAAGGGCTGTTGACGCTCAGTCCTTGAACATATTCAAGACTGAGATTGATAGATTTCTTATTGCAAAAGGGATTAAGGGATATGGGGATAAAGCAGGGTTAGGTTATTAGCTGGAGTTAGATTAGAAGATCAGCCATGATTGAATGGCGGGGCAGGCTTGAAGGGCCGAATGGCCTACTCCTGCTCCTACATGTTATGTTATGAGGACATCAAACTTAATATATCCAAATTTGCGTAAGACACTAAAGTAGGAGGGAGAGTAAACACCGAGGATGACATTAAAAAAATGCAACGAGATATAGATAGGCTAGGTGAGTGGGCAAATAAGTGGCATATGAAGTATAATGTAGGGAAGTGTGAAGTCATCCACCTAGGTGGCAAAAACAGTAGAGCAGATTAATTTTTAGAAGAGGAGAGACTAGATAGTGTTAGCATTCATAGGAACTTGGGTGTCCTTGTACACCAGTCACAAAAAGTTAGTTTGCAAGTACAGAAAGCAATTAGGAAGGCTAACGGTGTGTTGGCGTTTGTTACAAAGGGTTAGAATATAAGAGTAGGGAAGTCTTGCTGCAACTGTATAGGGCCCTAGTGAGACCGCATCTAGAGTATTGTGTGCAGTTTTGGTCTCCTTATTTAAGAAAGGATGTACTCGCCTTCGAGGGGATACAATGTAGATTCACTTGGTTGGTACCTGGGATAAGGGGAGTGAGTTATGAGGATAGGTTGAGCAATTTAGGCCTATATTCTCTATAATCTAGAAGAATGAGAGATGATCTTATAGAAACCTATAAGACTGTTAAGGGGCACGACAGAATAGATAGTGGGAGACTTTTTCCCCTGGTTGGAGAAACTATAAACATGGGTCACAGTCTTAAAATTAGGGGTAAGCCCTTTCACACTGAGTTGAGGAAAAACTTCTTCACTCAGAGGGTAGTGAATTTATGGAATTCTCTACCCCAAAGAGCTGTAGATGCTCAATCCTTGAACATATTCAAGACTGAGATTGATAGATTTCTTGTGGATAAAGGGATTAAGGGATATGGGGATAAGCCAGGTAGGTGGAGTTATAATAGATCAGCCATGATCTTATTGAATGGCGGGGCAGGCTAGAAGGGCTGAATGGCCTACTCCTGCTCCTAACTCTTATGTTCTTATGTTCAAATGAAAGTTTTGAGTGAATATAGAACAACTAAACTGGAGAAGAATCTTAATGAGATTGTGGAAGGGTTTATGTTTGGAAAATACTTCTTCCATTCAAAATCACTACAGAATCCAAGCACTGAATTTGCAAAGCGTGTTCCTACATTACTGCTCCAGTAATTTAGGCAATGAAAGAAATGCCAGCATTACAGCTTGACAGTATAAAAGTGCATTTATGAAGTATGTGATTGTTAATTATACTTCTTTGCTGAAAATAAACAGAGGCTCTTATTTGCAATCCTTCTCTTCCACCCCCCTCCATTGCTCATGTAAGACACTTCTCAATGTAAATTTGAGCAAACTAATTAGAAAGGTCCTGGACTGGAACCTAATTTTGTAGTGCATCCGGTAGTCAAACAGTGGTAAGGGATGTATAATTGGCCTTGGCAGCCCAGCACTGGGGAGCGGTGGGAAGAAGATCCAGATTTCTCATTCGTGATCACAGTTTGTAAAGCCTGGTGGAAATTTACAGTGGACATAAACCCTGCATATTTGGCCATCCTCACCTATGAATAATGGCCATTTGGAAGCCGGCATCTGGCATTCATGGAAGCGCAATCCAACAAGTCAGTCCCTTCAGGAGAAGAGTTTGAGAGGAATATCTTTTTAAAAAATATTCTTGGAATCATTGGAAGCTCAGCGGCTTGACTGAATAGAGTATACACTGAGAGGAACAAGCAATTTACCAGTTGGTCATAGATTTAAATCCTGGGACGGGATCTTAACACATTGATCAACATGAGTTACAAATTTTAACATTTCCTAATATTAACATGGTCCAAGATTAATATCTTGGACATTGTTGGCAATCCATCTGACTAACCCCTTACAATTTTGCAATCTGGCAAATCCACAGACCAGTTACTTCACCCCGCTGTGCACTTCTCATTAGCTTGATACAAGCCGTTCAGCCATGGACAGGGTGATGTCTGTCACACATTATTGCTCTCCCAGAGGAAGCATAGCAGTGAAGATTAAAAATCAACTCTCACCAGGAAATATTTAATTACTCTGGTTTCTGGCAGGGTAAAAGATAGAAATTATGTTAATCAAACTCTGACAAGAGTGGTGTAAAACTTTTATTGGCAATAAAGCTTTTATTGGTTTGTAATTAATGAAGTTCAATTTTATGTATTCAAGATCCTCATCCTCACCTACAAGGCCATTCACGGCCTCGCTCACTCCTACCTCTCTGACCTACTATCCCCCTACCTGCCTGCCCTTACCCTCCGTTCCTCTGGCTCCGGTCTGCTCCACATCCCCCGCCCCAACCGCCATACCATCGGTGGCCGGGCCTTCAGCCTCTCAGCCCCGAGGCTCTGGAACTCCATCCCCCAGTGCCTTCGCCGCCTCCTCCCTTTCCTCCTTCAAGGCCGGTCTCAAGACCTTTCTCTTTGACCGTGCCTTCAGCTCCCCTCTCGACTCTCTACCCCCTCCTCGCTCCCTCCCTTCCCTCCCCTCACCCTGACCTTTTCCCCCTCCTCGCCCCCCCCCCCCCCCTGACCATTTCCCCCTGCTCGGGTCCTGACCCAACTGTACAGGGCCTTGGGACGTCCTCCCGACGTGAAAGGCTCTCTATAAATGGAATCTTGTTGTTGTTGTTGTATGTAGTTTTACTTACGTACTTGCAATCAAAAGAACATACAAGCCGGGTTAAAAGTTTTACTCTTTTGTTACTTTTGACCTCCACATATATTTTGCACAGTTCTTAAATTATTTCAAAATTTAACATACTCGCAGAAACCAAAATTAAAGCTGCGTGAGTAGCAAATGAATGAAATTCATATATATTAATTAATAATGTAATTTCTCTTTATTTAAAGAAATGGAGCACATTTCCATTTTAGAATATTCAGCATTATGTTGGCTGACAGCACTACAAAACAAAATCACTGTTGAAAAGTGGCAAAAGTTGCGCTGCACAGACTCACTTAACGTACATCAATATCAAGAAGCATTTATAGAAAACTGGAAATTATAAATGAATTACCTTACTGTGACAAGGTTTCCCCAAACAGCTGTAAGAGAAACACAAAATTATCACAAACCAAAAAATATAGTTAAACTGACATGGTATATTTGTTACCAAAAAAAATGTTTTATAGTCAGCACACAAAAAATCCCTTGCCTTTTCAATTTTAAAAAGACAATGACTGACGTGGGCCACAAGTTCAAGTTACAGTATCCTGTAGTTGTGGAATAAAAATCTTGGTAAGTGCATTAAAGATTTCTACAATTTCTGAATGTGATGACAAATGCCAGCAGGTAGAGAATAATAATTAGCACAAGTGAACCAAGTATATTCTGAAGTTTGCAATGGGAGAGAGCAAGGAGTGGGTGAAGACGTGTGTGGAATATAAACACTGGCTCGGACTAGTTAGCCAAATGTTCTGTATCTGTGCTGTACATTCTATGTAAATCTATGTAAACTGAAGACCCTCTCCGGCCCTCCCCCCCAGCATGGGAAAAGAAGTCAAACCGGAGGGAAGAGAATGTTGAGAGAGAGGAAAAAACCAGATTTAGTCAATTTAAATAGAGAAACATATATTGGACAAATTGAACATATTAAATTGGGAGCTCCTCCCGTTGTAAAAGCGCTGCACAAATGTAATTTGTTGTTATATACAGGTAGAACCAGAACAAATGTGCAATGCATTCAAGACATGGTATTTTTCAGTCACATTCATAACTGTTTATTTAGTAAACTGCTTTCAGCAAATAGCTTTTGAATTGTATCTACACCTTAGAAATAAAACATATTTCAATTCTTTATGTTTCTTTGCTTTCAAATAAGAATTGAATGTTAAGAGCAATTTACCATGTCATCTGAAAACACTATTTAACTATAGCTCTTATGAGAGGAATCTGTTCTTCGGATGTTTAGGTGGACGTTAAAAATCCCAGGAAGGGATTTTCTCCTGGTATACTGGCAAACAATTTCCTCGATAAAATTGGTCAGTCACTTCACGGCTGTTTGTGGGATACTGTTATGGGTAATTTGGCTGCTGTGTTTGCCTACAAATACACTTACACTTTACCATAACTATAATAATAATAATAATCCTTGCATTTTGATATAGCGCTTTTCACGTCGGGAGGACGTCCCAAAGCGCTTCACAGAACACACTGTGAAGTGAATTGACTGTATATTTGTGGGCGAACGCGGCAGCCAATTGCGCACAGCAATGTCCCACAAACAGTCGTAGATTGAAAATGACCAATTTATTATTGTTTTTGGTTTGGGAGGGATTATTATTAGGCGTATGGAGTAAGGAAACTTGCCCAAGGTTTCGCCCTGACCTGCCTGGAATTGAACTCAGGTCTCTCGCTTTCAAAGCGAGTGCTCTAACCACTGAGCTACAGGACTCCACAACTCTTTGAATGGCTTTGAAAGTTGACGATGTGATAAGGTGCTATATCAAAAACAAGGATTATTATAATTTAAAAGCAAGGAGACATATCTCTTTTGTCTTATGAATTTACCTGCAGCGGCAAGCCCACCTCCGTAGGTAATACAAAGAAAAGTGTATTTCGAAATGCCAAATTTAACTGACCAGTGCTGGGAGTGCGTTACACTGTTGGATCCTTCAGGCGAGACATTAAACCAAGGTCCCACTTGCCTGTTCAGGTGAATGTTGTGCTTACAATTTCTAAACGCTACCCCGCATGAAGGGCGCTACATAAATGCAAGTTCTTGTTATTTTACTATTAAAATCTAATGTGGTTTTCCAAACACGATCAAAACAAATTCAGAAGAAAATTTACTTTGTGGATGATACAATCAATTCAAGACCTTTTAAAACAAGCAACTTTTTTGTGTTATAGTTACCACAGTTAATCCTGCTGCCAAACTGAAATTTAAAACAGACCAAACCTACTGAATGAGATCTTGCAACTTAGAAACATCCAAAGGAGGTGTGTTGGATTGACAGATCCTTCGGATGAGACATTAAACTGAGGTCCCAATTGCCTATTCAGGTGGACATTAAATGTTAAAAGAAGGGAGTTTCTCACAGTGTCCTGGCCAATAAATGAATAAATTGGTCACTCACTCCATGGCTGTTTGTGGGACATTGCTGTGTGCAAACTGGCTGCTGCTTTTCACCCACAAAATAAACAGTCAATCCATTTTACAATATATTCTGTGAAGCACTTTGGGACGTCTCAATGATGTGATAAGGTGCTCTATCAAACTCAAGGATGATTATACTATTATAATATCTAAATTACTTTACCACATTTTAATTCTATTTTTCCATTTATGTCATTAATCTCTCAACTCCCTCTTGAACTTCGCTCTACTGCTTTACTGAAGTTGTGAATGTAATCTTTTTTATTTCTTTAGATCAGGTATTAGGCTTTATCTGTAGTTCATGAGGGCAAGAATGTGAAAGAACTCAAATGCTGCACTGCATCCTGCCTCCCTCATTTAAATAAAAATATTTTCTCTTACAAACATAGGTTTCTTTCATTTTGATTGAACTGCACACTTGGTTAGCTTTCTAGGAGGTACCCGTTTTAAACAGGTTTGTTTCTTCTTACTGGCATGCTGAAATAAAAATGCAATCAGAAAAGAAAGGTTTGCCACAAATTGTGTCAGGTTATGATGAGCATTGGCTGCAGTAAATACTAAAGAATAATGTAATGTACAAGGGCAGGACAGACAGTGTAGCGTATTCAGAGATAAGCTTTGCAGTAAAATTTTGTTCAGATGGATTGAGAGACAGCAAGAAAGACAATTGTAACAGAAAAATAATTCTGTGTTTCCTTGGGGAAAAAAAGGACTTGGAAAAGACAAATTCATTTGTTTTTTCAACAGTTAATTTTTTTTAAAAAAAGGAATTTGATAATTTGAAAAAGAGGAATATTAACAGGTATGGGGAGTGAGCAGGAGTGAGATTAGATGAGGTGGCACATGTAAAGGTAAATATCAGAACTCATGGGCCACATGGCCCATTTCTGTGCTGTAACATTCTAGGATTCCATAACTAGAAATATTCATGAATAGAAAATAGTTCTTACTTAAAACAAACTAATTATGAACTGACATTATTTCAGCAAATAAGAAATTGCTTAGAGACCAAATACTTTGCAGGAAACATGCAAGAACAAATTACAGAGTATGGAAATGTAGATGGAAATGTATTAACTAAATTAAAATAATGTTTCATCATTTTCAAGTCACTCTACACTACGGCAGAGAAGCCAGGTAACCTATTCCTGGTTCTGTCAGTGTACTCTGAAAACAGTCAAGTGCAAGTGCAGACAATTTGGCTGGACATAATGTGACTGCAAAATGTGATTCTGGCGATCACAGAACACAGGAAGATCCAGAACAATTATTTCAGAGATCTTAACTGACAAGCCAGGAATTTCTGATGGTTTACTTTGTAGGAGTTGAGTTGAAACAAATCCCTGTCCCCAGCGATGGGACTGACTTGTCCCTTCAAATGCCGGCAAGCTTGGCTGGCTGGTCTGTCATCAATGCTAGTTTGGAGCACTGCTGACACACCTGGAACTGGATAACTGAAACGGCCACAAGATGTCAATTCAATTCTGATATCCCACTGCCACCCTGGAGTCAGCTCAGCCCCAAGAACACCCCATCCAAACAATGCCCCCCACTCAACAGAGGACAGTCACGAGTCGGTCATTAATTAATAGAGAACAACAACTGGCATTTATATAGCGCCCTTCACGCAGGATAGTGTCTCAGATCACAGCACAGTGGCAGGCCTGAATGCCGAGCAAAGGAGGAGGGGATGGTGACCATAGAGGACCATAGATCAAAAGGATGAAGAGGACATGAGCTGGAGGGATTGAGGCAGGGAGTTCCAGAGATTAGGGGCATAGTGCCTGAAGAAAACGAGCAGAGGAGTGGGATACGAACAGGTCAAAGAGGTAGGAAGGTGCTAGGATGTTAAGGGGTTTGCACGTGAGGGTGAGGCTGAACCGCACCAGAGAGGGGGGAGGTGACCGTAGGCAGAGTCGAAGAGAAAGTTCTTGAAGTGCGATCTGAAAGTGGGGGCGGCAGGGGTGTAGCAAAGCAGAGGGATTAAGGCAGAGTTCTAGAATTAGACAGATTCCAGACCAGTGCCGAGTGTCTGCAAGAAACCAGGGCAGGAAGTAACAAAGGCTTGGATGAAGGTTTCAGTAACATTAGGTGTGAGGTACGGCCGGAGGCAGACATTGTGACAAAGGTGGAGGAAAGCAGATCTAATTATGTGGGGTAAGCACAGCTGGGGTTTAAGTCAGATGTCAAGGCTCCACACAGGTTCAGTGAGTTTTAAAAATAAACCAGGAAGGCTGAGGAAGGTTGGAGCCAGAGGTAAGGAGATGTTGACTGGAGCCAAAGAGAATGGTTTCTGTCTTATCAATGTGTAACTGCAGAAAGTTGATATTCATCCAGGCCTTGATGTCTCACAAGCTGGCAGACAGAACAGCAGTGGAGTTGGTATCGCAACTGGAGGAAGAAAAATAGGCATCTAACAAGCACAAGTTTGATCACTCACTCTCTTGGGTAAAAAAAATGAAGAAACTCAGATATGATATGTGAACTGAACACAAAATAGTTCCTTAAATAATATTTCAATAATCAAAGAGGGAAGTTTTCAGGAAACATTCAAAGAGATAGAGAGGGTGAGTCAATTTGGGGCAGATTTAGGGACTGAGTTCTAAAGCTTCTGCTCCAACCACCTCAACTTTGAAAGCTTGGCCACGGATGGTGGAGCGAGAAAGATGAACAGAACTGAGTTTGCTAAGTGGAGGGGTAAGCAGCAAAATGAGATTGGGGAAGGGCACAGAGATATAGAGGGATTGGGCTGTGTAGAGATTTTAGGCAGGAATAAGAATCTTAAAATCAGCCTGTGGAGCCTGGCAAAGACGGAGGTGATATGTATGAAAAGTTTAGAAAGGATAAGAGTGAATTTTGGATGAGCTGGTAGGTTGTGGAGCCTCATGATAATAATAATCCTTGCATTTGATTTGGCGCTTTCATGTCTTCTAGCGTCTCAAAGAGCTTCACACAATATACTGTAAAGTGAAATGACTGTATATTTGTGGGCGAAACGCGGCAGCCAATTGCGCACAGCAGTGTCCCACAAAGAGTCGCGGATTGAAGTGACCAATTTATTATTGTTTTTTTTCCTTGAGGGATTATTATCAGGCGTGTGGAGTAAGGAAATTTGCCCAAGATTTCGCCCTGCCGGGAATCAAATCCAGGTTTCTCACTTGTGAGGTGAGTGCTCTAACCACTGATCTACAAGACTAGCTACAATACCATTGTGAAGTGCATTTCCTTCACAAAATGATGTTTGCAGTGCTTCCTGCGCATTGCAGATGTGTAGGAAGTGTTGTTAGTGGCACTTCCTGCACATATACAAAAGAAGTTGTCAGCAGCTACCTGACAACTTGGAAGTTTTGTCATTTTTTTTAGCAGAGGAAGTGACTAGTCAGCACTGAAAGCCAGATGTACTGTGCTTTTTGTTAGCACAAGTTTACAATACACCCACACTAAAAACAGGATTGGGTTATACTGTAGGGCGCTATAACCGGGTTCCCCTGCATTTGAGGAAAATATTGAAGGATACAGAGAAAAAACAAGTGAGTGTAGAAAGCGCCAGTATGAAGCTCGAATCAACATAGACACAATGAGTGTTTGTGTTGTAAGCATTGTATGATTCTATATATTTTATTAATGAAAACAATTGATGACCATGGAATTCTAACCTGCAATAGATGTTGAGCAAGCATTTGGTCAATCCTGCGGCAGAACTACATTCACTTTATCAACTCCCAAACATAATAATAACTATAACCCTTGCAATTAGCATAGAGCCTTTCATGTCGGGAGGACGTCTCAAAGCGTTTCATTAGATTTACTGTGAAGTAGAGCAACTGTGTATTTGTGGGTCAACGCAGCAGCCAATTTGCACACAGCAATGTACCACAAACAGCCATGAAATGAATGACCAATTTTATTTGAGGGATGGTTGGCCAGGACACCGGGACAAACTCCCTTCTCTTTTCAAATGGTGCTATGGGATTTTAAACTTCTCCCTGAACAGGCAGATGGAACCTCGGTTTAATGTCTCATCCGTCATCAAAATACAACATTCATCATACCTTCAAGTTACTCTATACACAAAGATGGGTATTTTATTACTCGCTTTAAAAATAATAATCCTTGCATTTGATAAATGCCTTTCGTATCAGAAGGATGTCTCAAAGAATTTTATGAAGTGTAGTGACTACTTTGTAGGCAAAGACAGCAGCCATTGTGCATATCAATGTTCCCCAAAGCCACAAAATAACCACTTTATCTAGAGGATTGCTGTCCAGGACACTGAAAGAAACTTCCTTCTCTTTTTGAACAGTGCCAAAGTATCTTTAACATTCACCTGAACAGACGGACACTCAGTTTTAATACACCAAATCCCTTTATTGGGAATGTCAGCCCTCACTATGTGAATCCAAAGTCCTAAAATGGAGCTCATCAAAAAACTCAGAAACTATACTGCCAATATCTGAACCAGGCTGATATAAAATAAAACACAAATATAACCTGCTTTTGAATCCACACTATGATTCAAACTCTCAGATTCCAGATTCCTAGTCAACTATTCCCAAAAGAACTGTGCATGTGGCACAGTTGTAAATTATCATTGAACATGTTGTGGACAGCATGCATCTTTACCCCAAATAAAGACGAACCTTTAACAATTAAAACCTTTGTAATTGTCATTGGGGCCAATTCAATTTCTTCAACATATATATGCTACTATATATGCACACAAGGTAAAGGGAAAAGACGCAGCTTTGGAAAAAAACACAAGGAAATAATAACTTTACAGTTATAGAAATGAGTTTCAAACTACACCTGAGTCCAGTAGCCACAATTAAGTAAATTTTACAGAGATTGCAAGAGGAAATGTTACACAAAATATCAACTTGTGACTGAAAAAACAAGCAAGACCCGCAATAAGATCTTGCAAGCGAGTTGACGCGATTACATTTCATTTCGTCTGCAAAAATGACAGTCGGGTTTTTTTTGCGGGGATAGCATTCCTCCGGTTGCAAAAAAAAATGAGCCATTTGTGACCAAAGAAACCCGGCGATGGAATAAGTGCGCGGGGAGTTGCTGAGAACCCCAACAAGTGCCAGACAGCCATCACTGAAGTCCATAAATATAACTGTAGTGAGTAAATGCAATGGTTATTGGTATAACTGCGCACTGGGCTCACACCCCAGGGGGAGCCAGGGAGGCGGCCCCTGCTGATCCCTCGGGGTCTCTCTCTCTCTCTCTCTGCCTCTGGGACACCAACGGTTTTCCCTCAGCCTCTCTGCCGTCCCGCCCCCCCCACCCCCCGTCCCCCCGGTAACGTGCGGGTAGGTACGGTTTGGCCAACCCGCGGTGTGTGAGTGAGTGCGTGTGCGAGGCTGCGCTTGTGGCCGCTCCCCAGACCGGCCCTGTCTACTCACAGGCGATGTAGGCGAGCAGCGCGAGGGCGATCAACAGCTTCATCATCCTGCGGTTGAGGGCACCGAACAGAGGCTCCAACCTCTTCCTCACCATCCTCCGCGCACAGCCGCCCGCTTCCAGGTGAACCGCCTGCGCATGCGCGCCCCGCTGCGGCCGCCCACCTCCGCCGACACCCCCCCATCCCTCCCGCCCCGGGGCATTGTGGGATAGCGTCAGTCCTCCACCGCTCCACGCGGGGTCCTCCCGCTGCAGCCCCCGAGCGACCCTGGGCCGCCTTGGGCGGGTTTTTTTTTTGGTGGCACTTGGCGTGAAAAGTCGGCTCCGGCCTCGTTTTTTTTTAATTTTTTTTATTTTATTTATTTTTTAAAAAAACGATTTAACCCGTTCAAAACGCGTTGAAGACCTTTCGCTGACCTAATTCGGTCACTCTGCTCGCAACAGCAGGCAACGCATCATATTGGGCTACTTTTGGGCGAGAAATTTTTGGTGGCTTTTGGGGACTGCAGATGTGTTTTTAATCGTTTGGCAATCCCGCCCCGGGATGGGGAAGAGGAAGGATGAAGACCAGGGTTTTACTTCACGAGATTGGTTTGGAGGAAAGGCAGCCGTTCCCCCTGTTTGATTTCCTCCCTCCAGGCAATGGCGGGACTGGCTCCCCCGAAAAGGGGAGCCGAAAGGATCGTCACACAAAATAAAATAGGGACGTCGACTTGCGAGTGGCGCCAACAAGAATAGAATCATACAATTATACGGCACAGAAGGAGGCCGTTCGGCCCATTGGGTCTGTGCCGGCTCTTTGAAAAGAGCTATCCAAATTAATCCCACTCCCCCGCTCTCTCCCCATAGTGCTGCAAACTTGTCCTCCCCCAAATAATGATCTACTTCTCTCTTAAAAGTTGTTATCGAATCGGCTTCCACCACCCTTTCAGGCAATGCATTCCAGATCCGAACAACTCCGCGGTGTGAAAACATTTCTCCTCACCCTCCCCTGTGTTTCTTGTTTTAACAACTATTTTAAATCGGTGACCTCGGGTTACCGACCCACCCACCAGTGGAAATAAAAGAACAATAGAGTGAAACCCCATCATACTGTGCTCTGGGTGTCTGGAATTCTAATAATAATTATCTTTGCATTTGCTTTGGCGCCTTATGTCACTGGGACGTCGTTAGATGTCTCAAAGCGCTTTACAGAATATAAAGTGGATTGACTATATTTTGTGGAATTCAAACCTTGCCGGACCAGGCCCGAAACCGAAAGATTAATAAACGTTTCCGTTATTGCTTTCTTGTACTCACAGGATTCAGACAATTACGATGCTGGTATTGATATTGAAATTTTACTTAGCTGGATCATCGGACCAGATCTTCCCATGCCTCCTATCCCAACCCCCCGCTTTAGTCCAGCTAGCTGGGCTTTTAACTATTTTAACTATTTTATTCCACATCAAGTGTAAATTGACAACAAAATCTTTTATTATCAAAATAACATTAAAAATTTGAAGAAAGAAGAACATTCCAACATAAAAATAATTTCATCCAACTAATTTAAGATCCTCACACTCATGTTCAAATCCATTCATTCCTGGCATCTCCTCACCTCTCTGACCTCCTAACTCCCCAATCCAACAACCGGCGCCTGCGCTCGACTGGCCCGGCTTCCTGCTCATCCCTCGCACCCTCCGCTCCACCATTGGAAGTCGCAAATTCAGCCATTACGCCCTAAAACTTCCTCCGGCTTGCTCCCCTTTTTGAAGTCCTGCCTGAAAACCTTCCTTTTCGACTGTGCTTACGGTCACCTGCCCCCCAGCTCGGAGTTAGACTCCGCCATTGTTAAGTGCTCTGGGACGCTACCCTGCATGCCAGTTGTAATAAAAGGCATCTGCTAGGCAATTATGTCAACAATTTTTGATTGTCAAGGTTTACAACAAAGTTTTTTCCATGTACATCATATCTAGGGCCAGATTAAGGGATCTGGAGGCCCTAAACCAGATCATGTTTGTGGGCCCTTTGTTCTATATATGCAAAATAAGAAAACTATGCCTTATTAAAAGAAGAGAGAAGAGAGTTTCTCTTTCCCAGTGTCCCGGCCAAATAAAATTCCCTAAATAAAATTGGTCCCTCGCTCCATGGCTGTTTGTGGGACAATGCTGTGCGCAAACTGGCTGGCACATTTCGCCCCCAAAATACACAGTGTATTCTGTGAAGTACTTTGGCATGTCTCATTGATGTGATAAGGCACAACATCAAACGCAAGGATTATTTTTATTATAGAAGATTTTCTTGCTAGTTTATAGTTGCAAACATATCACCATGTGATCAAAAAGTGTACATGTCAAATCATGCTGAATAGGCAGGATTGTGAATACATTCAATCTATCCTGAATCATTGTAGATCTGAGTTAGGTTTTGATGAGACTTATCTTTGAGAATGAGCGTTCACCTGCAGACTATTACAGGTAGTGTTAAACATGTTAAGGACAACTGAAACATTTGGAAATGTTGATGCCATCACGTGATTCTGTTTCATATACTTCAGTATTATTTGTGGAGTTTTCTCGCACTCAATATATAATATGAAATCCAGAAATTGCTCAAATTCATCAACACTGTCTGGATCAAAATATTTGTTAATCAGATGTGCTGAAGCTTTGCTGAATCATTTTCGGCAATTGCTTGGAGGAATGTAAAGTCAATGGAAATCTGGTTAGATGCTGGTTGACGCAATCATACAGAGGTGTTTTTTGTGGTGTACATTTATGACACAGGAGGCATTTTGTTCTTTGCAATGTTTTCAATATCATCAAACCTGTCCCTCAACTCAGTAACAAAATCTTCAAGGGACAGAAACATAGGAGTAGCAGCTGTCATGTCCACTTCTGTGCCCTGCAGGAGAATGAAATCACTGTAGAATCATGTTCCAAAGTTCACACATGAAAACAGTTTCAAGTTGTTGACATGCAGCAACAAGAGTTCTGGTTGTAAGTCTTTTATCTGCAGGCTCTTGTTCCTCAACTGCTAGACTCCAGGGCACAGAAGAAATTACCATTGTTCAACAACAAAGCTTTGATGGACACAGCATGGCAATGCCATCATGTCTTCAGTGTAAGAACCCATCTATTCTCATTTGCGCCAAGACCATCTGTTGAAGTGTTCTATCATTTTACAGACTCTGCTACAACTGTGTAGATTTGCTGCCATGTGACCATTGCCACACAGCAATTAACACTTGCTGTGCCAACAACATTAATTAAATGGGCTGCACATACACAGGTAGAGGGTTTAGCTCCTTTATTCTTGCAGGTAAACCTGTGTATCATCCAGACATGTGGACTGTATTATTCAATGGATCAACTTTGGTATTTTATTCAGAATGTCCTTATTTGCTTCTTCTCGCAACTGCTTGCACTTGCCTTTTTCAATTTCATTAAGATATGTTCGATTCTGCTAGACATGGCAAACCTGTAGAATAAAGTCGCATGTTTATTTCTAAATAAACATAAAAAGATAATTTAAAAGCATGTAAAGTTGCAAATGACATGAAACATGGATTAAAAAATTGATTTACCTACAGTTTTCAAGCCAAAATTGATTGCCCAGGGCGAAACGTTGGGCAAGTTTCCTTACTCCACACGCTTCTATTTACATAGCAGTAAGTAGGAAACCGAATGTTAATCAATTGGGGGATCGCTTTTCCAGGGAAATAATTCTTTAAACTTTTTTTTAAAAAAGTAATAACTTGGTCACTCAATCCATGACTGTTTGTGGGACACTGCTGTGTGCAATTGGCTGCCGCATTTCACCCACAAAATATACAGTTGATTCACTTTTACAGTATATTCTGTGAAGTGCTTTGAGACGTCTTTGAAGACGTGATATGCTTCAGTGCCAAAACTAGGTTGACATAAAGGAAAGTAGATGTTTTTGCATCTCTGACGTTTTTGCCAAAGACTCTCCATAAAAGGCACCTAGTGATGGACAAAGGCATATGTTTACTCGGCCTAAAGAGGTCATAGAACTCGAAAATGTTTCTGCTTGCCACCCTGCGCAGTCTAGTTCAGAAGTTCCATTTAAAGCCTGACAAAGTTTTTAAACATGTCGGTGGAACTCAGCAGTTTTGGCTTTCATACTCAACTGAGAAGAAGGCATTATTTTGTACAGCTTTGGCTGTATTTCCTGAGGCGTCTCTCACTTGAGATGAAATTGGGTTAGCTGACTGCGTAATGATTCTCAATCCACAACACTGGTGTATAATGTAACTCCTTTATTCTACTCCCAACAATCCAATACATCGATCATAAACCCACACCAGTTGTGCTCCCAGATTCCCTCTCTGCACTTCCTAGTCTCTTTCATTGGTTTCCAATTAATTGTCTACTTTCTCTTAAAGAGTTATCCAACATCTTCCCCTTTTTAGTTTTTCTTTCTTTTTCTCTTTTTTTCTGTGTCTCATTCAATTTTTGAGCTTGTTTTTCCTGTTCTTCCTGACTTGGTGGTTCTTGCTGTTTGTTTCACCCCCTGATCTTACTTCATTGTACTCACAGTCCAGGCTGATATTCTGTTACAATGTCCCCATGCTGCTTGTGGGAATTTGCAAATTGACTGCCATATTTGCCTACAGAATACTACAATTTACAGTAAATCCTGTGAAGCATTTTGAGACATCTGGATAATATGACATGTCAAATGCAAGGATTATTATGGAGCTAAAACCATGGAGGGGAGAATGAAAATTTACAAAGAATGTACAGCACAGAAACAGGCTACTTAGTCCAACCTGATCCTACCAGTGTTTATACTCCACGTGAGTCTCCACTCACTCCTTACTCCCTCTCATACCTTCTGTTCCGCTCTCTCTGATGTGAAGATCTACCTTCCTCTTAAATGCATCTATACTATCTAAGGAATACAAGGATATCTAAAGCTTATGAAGCATTTTTTTAAAAATATGGAACTATTTATTATTTTAATGTGTGATCTGTAACTTTGTATGGAGTTCTTTAGCTTAGTCATTAGAGCATTTGCCTCGCAAGTGAAAGACCTGGATTCGAGTCCCGGGCCAGGGCTAAACGTTGGGCTTATTTCACAGTTTCTTTACTCCACATTCCTCTATTTCCCAAGCATTTAGTAGGAACCCAGATGTTGGTCGATTAGCAGATTGCTTTCTAGGGCTAATAAT